TATTTTAAATATTCCAAGGTATGAAATGTTTTCTAATGTTCATCTAAGTGTCTTCTGCTAAGAAAATGCTCTTTTCTCTTAAATAGTATTCTCTTTTAGCCAATTGAGGATTCTAAGTGTGGTCTGTGAACCAGTAACACGAGCATTACTTTGGAGTTTGTTAGAAATGCAGAATCTTGGGGCATACCCCAGACCTGCTGAATCGTAGTTTGCATTTTAACATGATTTAACAAGGTAAGAACTGATGTAAATCACTAAATATATACATTATTTCTTTTTCTAGATCCCTGACCTTACTTTTGAGAGAGATCCTCTCTGGTTCGGTGTTCCTTCCTTCTTTGGATTTCCTAGCTGATCCAGTAAGACTTAAATGTTTTTTATTTGTGGTTAAAATTTATCATCTTAAATGTTTTCATATGTACAGTTCAGTGGTAGTAAGTACATTTATAATGTTGAGCAACCATCACTACCATCCATCTCCATAGCTCTTTTCATCTTAAAAAACTAAAACTCTGTACCCATTATACAATAGTTTATTCCTCCCTCCCCTCAGCCCCTGGTAATCATCACTGTACTTCCTGCTTCCATGAATTTGACTGCTCTAGATACCTCATATAAGTGAAATCATCCATATTTGTCTTTTTGCTACTGGTTTATTTCACTTAGCATAATGTCCTCAAAGCCCGCCTATGTTGTAGCATATGTTGAAATTTCCTTGCCTTTCAAGGCTGAATAATATTCATTGCAGATATATAAAACATTTTGCTTATTCATCCATCCATTAATAGACTCTTGAGTTGCTTTTGATCCAGTAAGATTTTGAAGAAGTAGGAATATTTTATAAACATTTTAAATGCCAAAGTCAGGATAACCTTTTTTTGCCCATTTTCATAAAAGGTGAGATTATTCATTGTAGATTTTTTAAAAGTCTTTCTATACTACATAAGTACAGATGCTTTGCCACTGCTCCATTTGTTTCTTCATTTTTTTAAAAACTTTCATATGATAAAAACTTATGAGAATTCTGGACAGAATATAATAATGGAATTATTTTGACCTGTGTTTATGATTTTCCATTAGGATACTGTGAATCATTTGCTTATCATCTTCATAGTTGACAGTCCAGTGAGTATTGAATGTATTAAAAAATACTTCACATTGCACTGAATTTTCATTCTTATCTGTCAAGTCAGTGACAATCTTAATGAATTAATTCTCTTCAAAGCCTGAAAAAGCAACCGAACCGCCTTCCCCTTTGGTTCCATTCTTGCAGAAATTTGCAGAACCTAGAAATAAAAAGCCATCTGTAAGTATTTTCAACAATAACTTACATTAGTTTTGATAAAAACAATTTTATCATATATTTATATAGCCTTGACTCCTTCTATATTGTATCTAGGTGCTGAAGTTGGAATTGAAGCAAATCAGAGAGCAACAAGATCTCTTATTTCGTTTTATGAACTTTCTGAAACAAGAAGGAGCAGTACACGTGTTGCAAATTTGTCTGACTGTGGGTGAGGCTTACCTTTGTAATTTATGAAAGTCATTTTAAAACTTTTTAATATATTTGATGTTATAGTTGTCCTCTACCATTGTACTAAATTTCATTTACTAGATATTCTAAGAGCTCCTATGAGTTGTCTCTCAAGTGTTGACTCTTTTCCAGATTGGGACATAATCTTTAACTGACTTCAGTTAAATCCTATTATTGGCAAAGAAAAACTACTAAAAATTGAATATAATGAAAATATATTAGTTTTTGTTAAGGATTATTTTGATTGATCAAATACAAAAATGTTTTATTTTTATTTTAAGCTCTATAATATCTTGCATTATTGGATTTATGAGACATTTATGGACTTTGAAAGATTATTTTCTAATGTACCTAATTTCTTTTTTAAGTATAACTTTTTAAAAATTTAAGTATAATTTACACATGAAACTCATAGAACTTAAATGAACAGTTTGATCGGTTTTGACAAATCAATACATCTGCACAACCTACTCCTTTATCAAGATATAGAACATTTAATCACCCCAAAAATTTCCTTTAGGGCCCTTTCCAAATGATCCACACCTGCTCCCACTCCTGCCAAAACAATCACTGGTCTCATTTCTCTCACCATAGAGTTTTGCTTGTACAATTTCCTTATATAAATGGAATCACATAATATGTACTCTTTTGTGCCTAGCTTCATTGATTCAGAGCAATGCTTTTTAAGATTGACCCATGTTGCTGTATAGTTGAGTAGTTTGCTCTATTTATTGCTAAGTTATATTCCTTTATATGACTATACCACAGTTTCTTTATCCATTCTCCTTGTCTATGAATATCCAGACTATTTCCATATGGGGGTATTATGTATAAAGTTGCTATGAACATCCTTGTACAAGGCTTTCTGTTGGGCATATAATAACAAAGTAGAACTGCAGGGTCACAGGATAGATATATGTTTAATTTTATAAGAAACTGCCATATCGTTTTTCGAAGTGGCTTTACTGTTTTTTTCCCTTTACCAGTGTGTGAATTTCGGTTGCTCTATATCTTTACTAAAATTTGGAGGTGTATATATTTTTTAAATTTAGTCAGCTTAGTGAATATATGGTGATATATTATTGTGCTTTTAATTTGCATTTCTCTAATGACTAAAGATGTTGAACACTTTATCACATGTTTATTGGCCATATGAATATCTTCCTATGAAAATGTTTAAGTCTTTTGCCTGATTTTTATTGAATTGTTTTCCTTTTTATCATTAAATTATAGGAATTCTTTACATATTCTAAATACAAGTCTTTTGTCAGATATAAGTGTTATGAATATATTTTTCTAGACTATGGCTTGGCTTTTCGTTTTTTGAATAGTGTGTTTTGATGAGCAGTTTTTAAATTTTTAAATTTTGGTTAAGTTCAGTCTATCTATTTTTAATTTTATGGTTAGTGCTTTCTGAGAGTTCCCTAAGCAATCATGGCCTACCCTAAGTCAAGATACTTGTCTGTTTTTCTCAAGATGCATTATAATTTTATTTTTTGCATGTAGGTTTATGATCTCTCTAGAAATAATATTTTTGTTGGTATTAGAGATGGAGATTCATTTTTTCCTCTGTATGAATATCCAGTTTTTCTAATACCTGTTTTTGAAGAGACATTTCTTTCCCTTCTTGAATGATTTGGCATCTTTGTCAAATCATTTGATCATATATATGGGCATATTTCTGGGTTCCGTTCTTTTTCTTTGATCCACATGTCTTTTGAGGGAGGGTTCGATATCATAGTCTTGATTATTTTGGCTCTATAGTAATCTTGAAATCAGGTGGTCTAAGGCCTCCTACTTCATTCTTTTTTAAGACTGTTTTGGCTAGTTTAGGTTCTTTGCATTTCTATATAAATTTTAGAATCAGACCACCAGCCTCCACACACATAGACACAACACACACACACACACACACACACACACCCACCCTGCTTGGATTTTTTTGATTGGATTGCACTGAATCTGTTGATCAACTTGGAGATTAATGATGTTTCAACAATATATAGGTTTCCAATGCATGAATATATTATATTTTTTCATTCATTTAAGTCTTATTTAATTTCCATAATGTTTTATAGTTTCCACTTGGGTTTTTATGTTTTTAGAAGTATTTGCAGGATGTGGTTTCATAGTGTAGCAGTTAGCACATCTGCTTTACACACAGAAGGTCCTGGGTTTGCGCCCCAGTGGAGCCACAGTCCATGGCTATGGCCATGCCACCCTGAACAAGCCCAGTGTCTGATCTCGGAAGCTAAGCAGGGTCAGGCCTGGTTAGTACTTGGATGGGAGACCACCCAGGAAGACCAGGTGCTGTAGGCATAAATAATAATTAAAAAAAAAAAAGTATTTGCAACTGGTTTTAAAATAATTTTTCAAATTGTTTGTTGCTGATATACAGAAATAGAATTGATTTCTTGCATATTGACTTTATATCTTGCAACACAGCTAAATTCATTAATTAGTTCTAGTAGCTTTTTTGTAGATTTCCTTAGGATTTTCTACATACACAATCATGTCATTTGTGAATACACAGTTTTACTTTTTCCTTTGTAATGTTTATGCCCTTTATTATTTTTTTTCTTGCCTATTGCAATGATTGGGACCATCACTACAGTGTTTAGTTGAAGTGGTGAGAGCTGAAATCCTTGCTTTATTCCTGATCTTAGGGGGAAATCATTTAGTGTTATACCATTAAGTATGATATTTGTCTGTGTTTGTAGATTATCTTTTATCAAATTGGGAAAGTTTCCTTCTGTTCCTGGGTTGCTCAGAATTTTTATCATGAATAAGTATTGAATTATTTTGAATGCTTTTAGTTCATCTCAGTAACGTATTTTATTGTCACCAAGTTATTCCTAATGTTCTCTTATTATGGAGCTATAGTAATGTCCCCACTTCATGGGTAATTTGTACTTTTCTTTTTCACTTATCAAATTTATTAGTATTTTCGATTTGCTTATATTCTCCTTTTTTAAAATTTTCATTTTCTTTTACTAACCTTGAGCCTAGTTTGCACTTCTTTTTCTGGTTTAAGGAGAAAGCACCAATGATTAATTGGTAAAGCTTATCTTCTTAATATAGGCATTTAAAGTTATAAGTTTCTATAAATTGCTATAGCTGAATTCCAAAATTTTTGATATGTTATGTTTTTTATTGTCACTCAGTTTGAAATATTGTCAAAATTCCCTGTGGCTTATTTTATGGTTTATTTTTTTCCCTTGGGTTATTTTGTAGTGTATTGTTAAATTTACAGAGATTTGGGGATTTTTCAGATATGTTATTGTGATTCATTTCTAATTTAATACTATTCTTATCAGACAGTATGTTCTCTGTGATTTCAATAATTTGACATTTATTGTTTTATGGTCTGTCTTAATGTATGTTCTATGTGTATGTGAGAAGAACATCTGTTTTGCTGTATTGGGTAGCATTCTATAAATATCAGTTAGGTTAAATTGATGGATTGTATTCAAATACTCTATTCTTTTTGATTTTTTAATGGATTTGCTACTTCTCCCTTTCATTTTGTTAATTTTTTTTCATGTATTTTGAAATTATTAGGTGCAGACACATTTAAGATTGTTATATCTTGATGAATTTATCCTTTTATCATTATAAAATGCTTTTTATTTCTGGCAATTCTGTCTTGAAGTCTACTTTGATATTAATGTAGCTACACCATCTTTACACTTGAGTTTACACTGCATGTCTTTTTTATCTATATTTCTTGTAAACAGCATATAGTTAAATCTTGCTTTAAAAAGTCTAGTTAGACATTCTTTGCTTTTTAATTGCAATGTGTAGTACTTTTACACTTAATATAATTATTGTATGTTTATTGTTAGGTCTTCTATCTTGGTGTTTTGTATTTGTTTCATATAGTCTTCTTTTCCTTCTTTCTTACCTTTCTGTGGGTTACTTGAGTATTTTTTAGTATTCCATTTTATCTCCTCTTGACTTTTTATTTATGTCTCCTCTTCTATTTTTTAAGTAGTTGCTCAGAGATTATATTATGCGTTTTTCATTTATCACAGTCTTCACTTAAAAATATTTGACTGCTTCAGGAACAATACAAGAACCTCGGTATGCCTCAAATTATCCCCGTCATACCTGTTGTGCTTGTTAACATATATTTTAATTTTGTGTAGGCTAGAAGTCTACAGTACATTGTTATTTATTTATTAAAGAGCCAAGTCTCTCTCTCTCTCTCTCTCTCACACACACACACACACACACACACACACACACACGTGTGCGTGCACACACACACACACACTGGCAGTAATAGTTATTGGCATATTTGCCTTTCGTACTCTTTATTCCCTTCTGTAGAACCAGGTTTCTGTTACCGTTTTTCTTCTGCTTAAAGAAATCTTTATCACATTTCTTAGAGTACCAGTCTGCTGGAGGTAAATTCTCTTAGCTTATGTCTGTGTGAAGAGATGTTTATTTTCTCTTTATTTTTGGAGGATATTTTTATGGTATATAGAATTTTAGGTTGACATTTTGTTTTCTTTCTGTACTTTAAAGCCATTCTTCCATTGTCTTTTAGACAATACCTTTGTTTCTAATGAGAAATTAGTGTCCATTCTTAGATTTGTATCCCTTTTCTCTCTGACTGATTTTACAATTTTCTCTTTAATTTTGGTTTTCAGCAATTTGACTATCATGTGTAGTTTTCTTTTTTTCTTTTTTTTTTTTTTTAAATTTTCTTTGGATTTTACCGAGTCTCAGGTATGTGGATTAGTGTCTTTCATCATTTTTAAAATATCTTGGCTGTCATCTCTTTAGATATTCTGCCTCATTTTCTCTCTCCTTTCCTTTTGAGACTCCAATTATATGAATTTTCTGTCATCCTAAAGACCTTATATGTTCTATTCTATTTTTTTTTTTTTTTAAATCCTTTCTTTCTTTTCTCTCTTTTTCTCTTTGGACAATTAAGAATTAAGGGGTGAGCTCCATATTAGCAACTCTTGTCATAAAAGAAAGGCAGTCAGTATTTTGGCTATTCAAATGCTATTACCTGTCGTTTTAGAAAAAAAGATTAATTTGTTCAGACTCTCAACTCCATCACTAGTTTGTAGTCTTCATGTTTAAAGGAAATATTGTTTAAAAACTTAACTGGAACTAAAAATAAAAGCCATAGTTTTTCCTGTTATTTAGAGAATCAGATTTCAAAATATTAAAGATTCTTGGTATAAGAAATTACCCAATATGTTCTTTAAAGAATACTTTAGAAATGTGTACTACTCTTAATTTTAGAAAATTTATGTTGCTATGTAAATATTTACATATTTTTTATTAGTGCGTAAAATATTTGGGTGACCGAGTTTTTCTTTCATCTGAGTAGTTATTTTAGTCCCAATTAAATCTTTCTAAAGAGCTTTAAAATGATGAGTAGTTTGTTTATAATCGTTGCTTTTAATATGGACTACAATTAAACTATGAACATGAAGTTTTCATGAATAGTTATATGTTAAAATAATTCATTTTTTCTTTACTCTTGTCTAATTTGCTAGAGGAATTCAATGATAGAATTTTGAGACCAGAGTTATCAAACGATGAAATGCTATCTCTTCATGAGGAGTTGCAGAAGATTTATAAAACATACTGTTTGGATGAAAGTGTTGACAAAATTCGATTTGATCCCTTCATTGTAGAAGAGATTCAAAAAAGTAAGTCAAAGATGATGCTGAAAATGGATTCTATAGCTTTTTACAGTTTTCAGAGTTTTCTCATGTATTCTATTATTGTAATAGACATGTAACACACGAGCAGCCATTATCCTATTTTACTAACAAGATGAAAGCTTTGATGAAGAAACTTATTCACAATTCACATAACTAATATTTGCCAGACCTGGAGCTTGGATATTTCAATTCCTCATTCTAGGGTGAATTCTATACCTTATAGTGGATTTTCTGCAAAACGTGGTTTTAGGACTTTTTGTGTGCTATTTGTGGTTTTAGGACTTTTTGTGTGCTGTTTGTCATGCATTTAAACTAATTTATAATGTATTTATGCTATTCATAAATAACTTCTACAATATAATTTTTTTAAATAGTTGCTGAAGGCCCATATATAGATGTTGTGAAACTTCAAACTATGAGATGTCTTTTCGAAGCATATGAACATGTACTTTCTCTGTTGGAGAATGTGTTTACTCCTATGTTCTGCCACAGTGATGAGGTAAGTTAAAATTTTAATCTTGTTTGAGGATTTTTCTGTAAAATTTAATAATGACTTGATATCATTATGTGAGTGATTAAAATAATAAACAGAAAACTAAAATACGATTAAGAAAGTGAATACTCTTTTTTACTACATAACTTAATGGAGATTAGAAGTTGATTGTAAATATAATTCTCAATGCCAAAATCATGTTGTATATATGTGACTACGTAGATTGTGACCAAATTTGGCCATTTGCCTGAGTAGCTTTGTGATACTATGACATAATAGGAAGCACATTCTTCTTACATATACATTATTTATAGACCCATGGAAATCAAATGGCTTGAATATCTCTATTTGCAATATTTTAATTCTTATCTATTTGACTGTGGTTGTATTCACTTGGTTTAAATAACATTTTCTTTATACTGGGAAGTGCTGTGGTAATGTTTCAATATTAAATGTTAGTTTAATAAATCATAATTATTTTTGAAGTATTTCAGACAACTTTTAAGAGGCGCAGAATCACCAACACGCAATTCAAAATTCAACAGGTAGATATATTTAATCATATATATGTTTTATTTTTTTACTTGGTGATGCTAATCATTCTGTGATAGCATCACTGTCTTTATTAGCTATTTTTCTGTGAATATATGGTTCTATTGCTACCTAAGTAGACATTTTACTAAGGAACTGTAGAACTATACTACATACAGTAACCAAAATGCTTGAAATTCTTTCAGAAAAATTTAGCGAGATACACACCCTTGCCTTGTTAATCTTATAGTTAATACACATTAGTACTTGATTACCTGTTTTATTGGAGATTATGGACTGCATGCATAAATGAAATTCACCAATAACTTAAATTTTTTCCCCATAGGGAGCACTTTTTATTAGAGAACTTACTCGTTATAAAAGTGGAGAGATTTTTCTCTTTCCTTTCTGGCTCTCCAGAAATATAAGTATGCAGTTAAATGAACTAACGAAAGGTAACAGAAGAGAGAAACTTTATCCATTTATAAACTAAATAATTAATGTCTTGATTTGTCCTTTAATTGTTATATGTATGAAAATTGATATAGGTATCAAATCTGTAAATATACAGGGTATTCACATTGCTCTCAACACCTAGTTTGTCAGAGCAAGGATCCAATAAATATATAAATAAATTGGAAATGTGGTACAAGGAGAGAAGTAGATAGAAAATGGAGTAGTTCTTTTAGATGGAACAAAGAAAAATCTGAAAACCTTAGCCATGGGGGAATATATTACATTTTTTGACATAACCAAGGGTGTAGAAATAGTTTTGAATTTTTTTGAATGTTAAATATTAATTCTTACATAATGCCTCAGTATAAGTAGTATACATGTAATAACTTTTCTGAAAGGTGGAAAATATGTTTATGCTTCTTTGTAAAAATATCACTTTTTTCTTAAGAGTTTATATATTATAGCCATGAAACATAGACTTTAACAAAAATTGCATCCATGCTATTTAAAATAGCATTTTTTGCCCAATTCATGTGCCTTTCACTTGAATACTTTTCCAAGACTTTTATCACATTTCCCAGCATCAGTTGAGAAGCAGATGAAATTTGTCCCCGTTTATAGACTTAAGCTGTTGAGATTAATAGGACTTAATAGAAACTCTTATATATAAGGCAAAATAGTTCTTTGAATTTATAAATCTGCTGAGTAGCTAAATCTAAGGGTCTTAACTTCAGAGATGGATAGCAAATAAAGTAAGCTTTTCTGTATATTGACCTGACTAATATTAACTGTCAGTCTTGTCAGGACTCTGCTTCTGTGATACTTAATGACTCATTTGCTGACTGTATAGAATAAAGAAAAGACTTTCCTAACATTCTTTCATTGAATAGAGCAGCATTGCTGTTACATGACTTAAAATATGTAAAGTATATATGTACTTTATTTACATTCTATTTAATTGTATCTTAAAAGTAAAATTTTAATGCATATTTTGTTTCATTTCATGTTCAAAGCACAACTTAAAAAACATTTAGAGATCTTTTAAATTTGCTTCTTAGCTTAAAATATACTTTTTAAGATATGCAAACTAAAAATGTGCAAAGCATGCATAATTATATCTAATATGGACATGTATTCCATGATGTGGAAAGTACAAGTTTTTTTCCTGTGCCAAGTTTTTGGTGGCTTAGTCTCTGCATACTTTCCACTGCGTCAAACAAATAGTATGCCTAAATGAAGGCAAAAAATACAGAATTATTTCCTGACATATTGAGTTTTTAAGAACTTCTTTTTAATGATGTAGAATTCATACTCCCACACCCTCAAAACAGTTAGTACTTTGTTTCCTTTATTATGTTATTCATGAGACTGCCTTATCTTTACAAAAATGAATGCTGTCTACCTGTGTAACTTTTAAGCTTTAAATTTTTGTTTTGTGTTCTAAAGTGATACTTGTTTAATGCCTGGGCATTCTTTCCTTTCTTTATATAATTTCACATATCTGTTATTGCAGAGGTAGCCAAAGTTTGGATGATTTTCGGTAAGTTTTGAGATAGCATGTGATTCTTTTCTGTATAAGTTATCTGTTTAAGTCCAGAAAGTACACCCCAGTTAAGTACAACTAAGAAGAAAAATAATGAAACACTGGCTATTACTGCCTTTATATCAACTGTTTGGGATATCCTTTTAAAATTAACCTGTACTTTGATTCTAGATATCTCCTTTTTGAAATAACATGATATATGTCATCATAAAATAAAAATGTTAGTATAAAAATAAAATGAAAAAGCCTAGCTTTTCTACGTTATTGATTCTTTTTTTTTGTTACTGATTTTGCTAAATTACTTTTAGAATTGTTTGTATTTAAAGAATTTTTTAAGCAAGAAGTACAGTATTTTTGTATTTCTGGGCATAATCACAAGTAAGATATTTTAAAAATGTCATTTCAAAAAGCCCAATTGTTTTATAATCTACCTAGGTCCTAAAGACTAGAATAATCTATCTAGATTCTAGATTTTAATAATTTTTTTTATTTAATGAAAATATTTTAATATTTGTTTTTGGAAACATTTCTATCAGAGAGAATTGTGTTTACAGTTCTGGATTTTAAAAAAACACTAATTGTATGCTTGCTTAAATAAAATAACCTTCTAGTTTAAATATGCTTTTTATTACTCACTACTTAGAGTTTTTCCAGTTTTAAAATAAGTTTGTTTTGCTCGTTGGACATGTATAATATGCATAGGTCGCTATATGCCTGGCGTAGTTGAAACTTGATCAGTTTACTTCTATTTCTTTAATTGTATTATTTTAGTAAGTAAATTTTGCTCAGAGGAATAATAGCTATCCATTAAGCATTCAAAATACACTTTCTTGATTTTTAAAATGGCCATTTTTATTTGAGTATATCTGTTGTAAGGGCAGTATTACATAGTAAGCATGAGTTAAATTGGGTAAAAGCTGTTTTTACTTGTTGAAACATGGGCAGTAGGCTATAATGGAGGAAATTTTTGCTGTTTTTGGCATATTTTTTTGTTGTCATTGCTTTCTAGCTATTTCTGCTTTTAGAAATTTGCTTTTGAAAAAAGTTACAAAACAAAATATATAGATCTATTTATGGTTACTATTAATATATATATGGCAGAGCAGGCTGCTTCCTTAGGCTACATTTGCTTTTATCCTTATATTCATTACTCACCCTTACCTTTGGCATTTTGTCATTCTTTTTATTACTTCAAAGGTAAGTAAGATCCATTTTATACTGCATTCTTCTTTTGACCATATGATTAAAGTTGAATTTTGCTTAAAAATTTTCAGAGGACAGAATTTTTGTGTTAAGTTCTTTCTAAAAATGAAGTACTGAGAAGTTCATAGTTTTGTATATTTTTATTCTACTGTGTTATTTTAGCAGTACAGTTCTAAATGGATACTCTGTTTTGAATATAGGTCTTAACCTTATTTATCTATTTCAAAATATGTATGGCAGTAAGAGCTATGTATCACTAGGGGGCTCTCATCTTTTAAACATTTTAGTTCAGTTAAAGTTTTAAAGTAAAATAGGTAAATTTCAAACGTTTGTTAATAAATATTGTCCTATTTATTCATCCCCCCATATTTAAACTTTAAATTTTCTGTTCCTTTTGTTTTGAGTTGTTGAAACTTTATGACCGAGCACTCCAAAAAGATATGTTAGCTATGTTACTTTCAGTTTACCCTTTTCACAAGTTTTTTTTTATTATTATTGTTTATAGTAAACTAGACTGTTGAGATAATTTGCTTTGCGCTTGATACATTTTTGTTTAATATTTAGGAGCACACAGAAAAGAGGAGAATCATTTGGAATCAGCAGAATAGGTAGCAAAATTAAAGGAGTGTTCAAGAGCACCACCATGGAGGGAGCTATGTTGCCTAATTATGGTTTAGCTGAAAGTGAAGATGACTTTGTAAGTAAAAATTCTTTAATTTGATGTGTATATAACCAGACTTACAATGGCATTAAAAATTGGGTACGCTCACTTGTTATTTTCCCTTTTACTACTTATTTCAGACTTCTTTATATTTCCCATTCTTCCATTAGTTATAGTTTTTGTGGTACAATCTAATTTTTAAAATTCCTGAGCACTAAGTTACAGCTTACTGAGGCCAGAATGGTTTCTGTTAAGCTGAGCTACGTCTAATAGTCAGACAGTTTACTATCTTTTGGTTAGGCTTTTACTTCATATCCTCATCTCATTCCAATGGTCCAGGCATATGGAGTTGTTAATAGATGTCCTAATCTCCTGCTACTCAAACTGTGATGTGTAGATCAACAGCATCAACATTACCTGAGAGCTTGTTATAAATACAGAATCTCAGGCTCCATCCTAGACCTACTGAATCATAATTTGCATTTTAATAGGGTACCCAGTCGAGTTATATGCACATTGCACCCACCACACTATTTTATTTCTCTGTATCTTTACACATGCTGTCCTTGAAATGCCCTCCCCGTAAACCCTTACCTGAGTTCCCAAGTAGAATTGAACATTTCGTACATTGTGCCTCTATTAGATCATATGTTAAAGCATGTACCATGTTGTATTTGAAATTATATGTTTATGATTGTCTTCCTTACCAATTAGTAAGTTCCATAAAGGCAAATATTGTCTCATTTGCAATTTTAATTTGTCTAGCAAATACTGAATTGAATGGAGATCCGCATTCCTCATTTTGCCTTTTAATGACTCTGCACTGGAGATAAAGAGATGATTAAGACAGACTTTGCCCTTAAGAAATTCACTAACCTGGGTATGAAAAGGACATAAAGTAGTGATTGAATTGGCATCGACCAAGGATGGGGGGAGAGAAGAGTAAATAAACTAATTTTTCCTCTTTACCCCCTTTTTTTGACCTCTGTCCCATTGCGTTAATGAATTAAGATTTACTGCTTTTTCATTGTAATCTAAATGGAAGAAAATCTTATTTAATCCTTTTTCTCCTTTTTAGGTAATCCAGATACAGCATTTTTTCCTTCTTAATGCTCTGTTTTTCCTTAAAAGTGTAGGTAGAAGACAGACAGTAGACCAGAGGAAGGAGTTTTTATTTTTATTTTTTTCAAAATAATGTGTATGTTTTAAAATTTTAAGCATATTATAATTTCAGTTTTTTAAATAATATAAAAAAGTGGGAAAATTTAAAGTACCACTTATAATCCAACCACCCCATAACCACTTCTATTAACATTTTCTTTTTAAAATATCCTTCCCATCCCACCCCCATAGATTAGGCTATATTATATATATAGTTCACTGTCTTGCTCTCTTCCTACTTAATATTATAACAAAAGCATTTATCTATGTTACTGTGAACTTTTCAAAATATAATTTTTCTGGGGGAAGATGAACTTTTAATGTTTTGTTTTTCCCAATTACTTGAAATACAAGTTGTATTTTTGCTTCAGGAATAGGAGGGTATCTTTAAAAAGCTGAGAAAGTTCTGTTTTGTAGTGGCACAAAGAAGGAAATTCTTGATTGGAAGCAAAGATAGTAGTAATAGAAAATAGACTAGAGCAAATTCATCTCTAATACTCTGAAAAGAAACAGCAGGGGAAGGTAGAGTGTTGACCCAGACTAAGATGGCGCCATTTAAGATTTAGAGGGCACTGTGCTATTTCTAAGCTGTGGGACCTCGTAGAATCTTTTTTGTCTTGTTTAGGAAGTTTAGGGGAAAAGAAAGTAAGGGAAAGGGAAATTGGTAAAATGGTTTGTGATCCAAAATTAGGACCTCAAAGACATTTTCTTTTAGAAAATTTGTTGAGATCATTTAGTAGCAGTGCCCCTTTGCTGTGTGACCTTGGATGAATTGCTTAAATTTAAATTTAGTTTCCTCACACATGAAATGAGAATAATAGTATTTAACTTACATAGGGGTGTTGTGAAGATTAAACAAGTAATATATATGAAGCACTTGGAATGGTGCCTAGCATACAGTAAGCACAGTAAGTATTATACAGTATTGTATTATCTTTTCTCATATATGAGTATAAATTATGGATTAAATAGTCATATGTATACTGGCCTGGGAACCAAAAAATTCCGCTATAGGATATTGGGTCTCTCTGAAAGTGAAGTTCTGTTCAAGTTCAGAACTGATTTCCAAATAAACTTCTGGAATGTAATATGTCCATTGGTGTGTTGTCAGTTACTTCCATATAGAGAAATATATTAATGAGGAACATTAATATTTCTCAAGGAAATAGGGGCTATCTCCTTGCCTTTTATCCTCCTCCTTTATTTCTCATCCTTTTTTGTGGAGGGAACATCTCTTTGAAAACAAAAAAGTACTTAGTCTTTTTAGGAAATTTTTTGGTTTACAATATTTACTTACTTGCAATTTTTTACTTTTTATTTTACCCTCTTTTCAGAACCTAAATCTATTAACAAAAATACAGTTTAATTTTGAGGAAAAGACCTCTCATATTTTAGTAGAAGCATAAATTGTTTAAAGGGAAATTTGGTAAAATCTTTCAAAATTAAACGTGAGCCTATCATTTGAAAAAAAAAAATGCAGATTAATAACTGTGGAAAATGCTGCTCTATACCTCAGGGTAGCCTGTACCAGGCAACAGAATGGGAGTTTTCCTCACATGCTTTTCTCTGTTTTTCCTTCCAGGTTTATAGGGAGATATCCTTGTCCCCAAAAAAGGCAGAATGCAACACCTATCATCTGTCTTTATAGCTTCATGTTTCATAGCCCTTGAAGACTTTTGTGTTTTCAAGAGAGCATTAAGAAGTCTTCCCGAGATCACTGGTGGTCTTATTAGGGATTATGGAAAGCCATTTTAGGACAAGAACAGAAAAAGGGATAATTGCCAAGGGACTGTGTGGGGAGTAAAAGAATTCACTTAGAAGAGAGGTGGCTACCAGGTGTGGGAAGAGAGTAGAACCGAGAGTGAAGGTAGGGTGCTAGAATTCCAGAAAGAAATTCCTCTCCACTCACTACTGGTTTGTTCTTACTGGGCTCTTCAGAATTCTCTTAAATGCTACAGTCTTTGACTCATTGCCTTAAAAAGTGTCTTTATCTGCAATATTCTTACCCCTTTAACATGAATTGGAGATATCTAGGTGACCAAATGTTATAATGTGCCAATTCAGAAGTTCTCTTTCAATTTAATGAACTAGAGACAGTTATTTTCCTTCTAAGTGTATATTTCTAGAAAATGTTTAAAATTTATTTTTAAAAATCATTGTTCCTGAAGTAATGTTTAAAAAATATTTATTCTTTTAAATATTTATTAACATTTTAAAAGTCAGAAGATAAAAATTTTAATTTTATAGAGGTGGGTCCCTTTCAGACTACTTTTCTAATTTTATATTATTTATATATTTATACTTGTGCCATTTTCACAGTTTAAAAAATTTTATTTGGAATAAATACTTTCATTAGAATAAATCCTCAGAAATGGAATAACTTGGTCAAAACTAGTTATGGCTCTTTATAAATAAATACACATTGCCAAGACATTTTCCAGAAGAGTTGTGCTGGTATATCTAGTAACCAGCAGTATATCATGGATCCAGTTTATTGGTACAGTCTCCATTGATGGCTGTTATTATTTGTAAAATTTTACATCCCTAAATGAAAAAATATCAGTACGTTAATTTTACTTTTTATTACCTAAGCAAAATATTTTTCAATATTTGTATATTTTTAATATCTTTTTCAGTAATCTGAAATTTCTATTTTCTATTGAATTTTCACACATAGGTGATGTAACAAAACCTGGAGTTGATGCTAATAACTCGTCAGTTTTATTTTTTATCTTTATATTTTCAGTAGAAAATTTGATATCACCTAATTTCAGAAGCATTAAAAAAATTATAGAATTTATATGGGTATATTATTTTATAGTTGAATCTCATAGGTCTAAAGGTCCTGGAAATATTACATTTTTCCTGGTGATTTTTTTTTTTTCCCCCAGATTGAAGAAGGTATTGTTGTAATGGAAGATGATTCTCCAGTGGAAGCTGTGAGCACACCTAATACTCCCCGAAACCTTGCTGCATGGAAAATTAGCATTCCATATGTAGATTTTTTTGAAGATCCCTCCTCTGAAAGGAGGGAGAAAAAGGAGAGAATACCTGTGTTTTGTATTGATGTTGAAAGGAATGATAGAAGAGCAGGTAGGAAGCTTTCTGAGTACTTTTTAAGAAGATTCTCATTAATCTGTATTTATCAGAGATGATAAAACATTTTGTCATTTCAAACTGTTGAGTATGATTGCATATTTAAAAGATAATTGTCCAGAACAGAAAATTAAATGAAAGCTTAGGGTTTTCTAGGTTATCGCTATTAGTTAATTTGTTCAATCAACACTTATTGAGTAGATTCCTGCAAGATACCTGACAATCCATCAAGGCATTTTATATAATGTCTTTTCAATGGTTTTGCTTCTGTCATCATTAGCTATTAAACTTATTTGACCATTATTAATACGTATAACACTATATCAGGTATTTTACCAATTTAATTAAGATAGCATTTCTGCTCCGCCATCGTTGTCAGAAAATAAGAATTGATAAAAATATGATCAAATACAGCTTCACAGATTTTCTTCATTTTTTTTAAAAATCTTTTTTCTTTTGGTTGTTTTAAATGTAGAATATGTAATAGTGACAGGGGAATAAACAGCATCCATAGCGAGATAAACAGTCACCACCCTAGGCTTTGTCTAAGAGGTGGAGCAGTTGGTGTAAGCAAAAGCATATCAAAGTTGTACAAGTTTTGGGAATGATGAGCAGAAAGTAAAGTTGAGCTCATGAGGCGGGAACTATCCCTCCTCTGTGAAGAAAGAAGGAAAAAACATGGTAGTATTAGGAAATGGTTAAGAGAGGGAAGTGACTAAGTGATAGTGTAAAGGTCAGTGCTAATGATTCCCCTTATTTATTTTTCAGAAAGTATTAGGTTTTTAAATTTTTTTTCAGAAGCTGATCCTTTTTCAAGAACATAAAGCATAGCAATGGGGAAGGACGAATGCTCCGAGTAGCTGGCTATTTTTTCTTTTGTAGCTAAGTACGGGGCAGGGTCTTGCTCTATCCAGTTCTGAGTCAGTGCTACTTGATTTTGTTACAGTCACCATTCAGTCTTGCTAATTGCTGTTCTGTCTTAACACTCTTATAGGTGTATAGACAAACCATTGTTAATATTGTAGTCTGATTCAAACATAGTTTTGTTTACATCTTTTGTCTGTGGTCTCTACTGATTGGTATTTTAAGTATTGGAAAGAATTGAAAAGACTCTGGTTAGCTTCTGGGTTTAATTCCTTCCTGTGCTTAGTACTTAAAGTCTGACTGTTCCCACATGGTTCTTGTTTCTCAGGAAATTATTTAAAACTTTTGACTATTCAGCTATAAATGCCTATCAATATAAATAAATTTATGTAACTTTAAATTTAGTAACTTTTATCTCCTTTTGAAGGACTTACAGATTTATATGTGATATACTTTTAAGTATTTTGAGACTATACTTTTGTTTTTGCCTTTGGAAAATCATCTTTAATTTTTGGTCTTTATTTTTAAAAGTTTGGCTTAATTATTTAACCCTAAAATTAAAACCACAAAAGTCTTAAAATTTATATTCCAAGGATAATTTTTGTCAGCAGTGTTGTAGACTTTTACAGTCAATGTAATGTGCTCTGAGGAAGTGGCCTATGAGGAATAAAAAGTGTATCATTTAAATGTTACGTTGATTTATGTGTGTAGCAAGATAACAATTTCAGGATTTTAAAAACCAAAACTAAATATAATACAGATCTTTTAAGACCAGGTTGTGGCCATATCAGACTTTTTGTTTGTTTGTTTTTTGAATACAGGTATTGCTTTTGGGTTGTGGTTTTTAGTTAACTTGATCCATTGCATCTCCAAAGCAATGCTAGGCTGACATGAGATGTGAATAATAGCAGTTAACATTTTTTGGGTGATTACTCTGTGCTGCACACTATATAAAAGTGCTTTTGATGGATTATTTCATTTAATAGGTACAATTATTTTTATTCTGCGCAAACTAAGGCACAGCGAGGTTAAGTTATTTGTTCAAGTTTACATAATAAATGGAGGAACCAGGATTGGAATAGGCAGTCTGACCCAAATCATTCGTTAAACCATCAGTTTACGTTGTCCAGTTTGGTGGCCACTAGCCACTTGAGGCAATTTAAATTATATTAAAATTTCAGTTTCTTACTTACATTAGCTGCATTTCAAGTGATCAATATTATGTGGCTAGTAGCTACTATATTAGTGCAGATAATACAGATAATACAGAATTTACAGAAAGTTATATTGGATAGCGCTGTTCTGTACTGTATTAGATCAGGACAATTAGGAAATATTTGAGAGATCCAAAATTGATTATAAATTTTTTATGCAATACATCATCATATTTGTGTCACTTTAAAACTGATCATAATTACATAATTTTGGAAGTTGCTGTCAGCTCTATGAGTCTTTGTAGAAAAATGTGTATATTAGTGAGATAACTTCATAAATAGGTAAAATTTATCCGTCTCCTAAATAATTTAAAATTAAAATGTGGGATAAAATATGTTAATGTGATGTGAAGAAATAATATATTTTTAAAACTGGAATAATTTCTAGCTTTGTATACTTAATGTTTTAAATACTTTATCCTTTTAGTAGTAGTTTATAAAATTATTTGTTACTCAGTATGTATTTATTCAATTTACAGTTGGGCATGAGCCTGAACATTGGTCTGTTTATAGAAGATATCTTGAATTCTATGTACTTGAATCAAAACTAACAGAATTTCATGGTATGTTGTTCTCTTTGTATAAAACATTGCATTTCAAAATGAGCCTTCTTGAAAGCTGTCGAACCAGATTAAATTTTTCATTTTAAGTCATGGTATCAAGGAAATGTAACAGTGACACTTGTGTACACTGCTATTGAAAATAGAAACATACTATTTTAATCTTGTTTCTGCCTGATTATATTTTTAAAGTTTTTACAATGTCCAGTTCTTGCTTTTTAAATAATAAAATGTAAAAGATAGCTATTTCTTAACTGTATTTTAGAAAAGTTTTTCTTTCCAATTTAGTTTTTTTTTTTTTCCTCAGTTAAGTTTTTATCTTGACGATGTGGATAATTTAAACCATGCATTTCAGAGTTGCTCTGTTTTTTTACCATCATCTTCCTTGGTTAGACATATTTATGCATTGTGGCAAATGTTTTGATTTAGTTCTTAGATTTAGATCTGGAAACAAAACTTGTAAATGAATGCTTTTGAGGGTAGATCAATCAGAAAAGGAGAGTACCTTTTTTTTTTTAGTTCTTCCTCTCATCTGCTAAGTCTCTCTTATCTCTCCATTTATTTAAGTTAATAGCAAGGATATAGTTATGGAGTATTTTCAGTCATTTTATGTATAGATTAGCGAGTTTGATTTGTGTATTCTGAACCTTTTTATTTTAGAACAGCTTTGTGGAGTGTTCCCTGATCCAAATTCAGTTTGGTTCTGAATTGAGTAGCTCAGGGAACCTTCTTAACCTTGCTATAAGAACAGATTTCGTGATAAGGAGATTATAGGAAGATTAAAAAATACAAGACTCACTCCATACTTTTTGCCTCGATTTTGAGTTTGTACTTCTCTTTAAATGGTTTTCTCTTTGTTTCTGCCAATCTGATGCAGTGCTATTCTTGTCATGTTCTTTCTCTGAGAATCTTTTCTTTGTTGTTTATAGTTAGTTGAAAGATCATTTATCTCCATACTTTAAAATTCTGGATTAACCAAAGTTGGTTGGATTCCCAACAATGTTTTCCCTTTGGATACTAAAATTTCTGAAATCAGCTCTAGCTGAGAAAGCATGTCCCTGATTTTAAAATTTTGTTTTTAAGCTTATATAGCATTGGCAAATGCTATCGTTTTCCCCCATGAGAGATTAGATGTTTCTCTAGTAAAATTTTGTCAAATAGAATCCCATTTGAGATTTCAAAATAATCTCATGATAATTTTTTGAAGCTTTTTTTTACTAGTATAGAAGGCTAAATATAACTATGTCAGTGAAGAGTGGTGCTATTTTGGCTATCAATAGGTAGACTCAGGTTCTCTGGTCTAGGCTTCTGTGTTGTCTGATGTCAGGATTATTTAAAGGATAATGCCACATCTCTACAATGCAGCACTGTGATTCTGAATTTGCCACAATAAATTATAAAGTAAATTTTTAAAATACTAGCAGAACATAGTAATAACTTTAATGTATATTAATTTCAGGCACATTTCCTGATGCCCAGCTTCCTTCCAAGAGAATCATTGGCCCCAAAAATTATGAATTCTTAAAGTCGAAGAGAGAAGAATTTCAAGAATATCTACAGGTATAGCACTAACTTAATTTAAATCATTGCTAATCATAGCATTCTCTTATTTGTCTTTTTCTCTTGTATGTATATGCTTTGCTTCACAAATACTTGTCATTGTGACTTTCTAAAATTCTTTTATTTTAAAAATTTTTTCTTTGTGGAAATGAATTGTCAGGAGGATACATTTTTTTCTTTTCTTTATTTTCAATTGGTAACCAGTGAAACACCAAATATTTTCTTAGAGGGAGGAAAAAAAGTCTTATATTGGGCTTAGTTTTGATGTAGAGTGTTGAAGAGAGAAAAAAACTTTGGTATAAAAGATTACATTCTGAGAACACTGGGGAGTTTTTGTTATTTTTGTCTTATTTTTTATTTGATTTTGTGTTCAGCACTTTCTGAACCTTGGAATCTTCCTTCACTCCTATTTTATTCCTCAGTTCTTTTCCTTTTGCAATTTGAAGATGTTTTTCCAGTTTCTTGGGATCTCCTGACTCTCTACCACTTACCACTTGGAATTGAATTCCATTTTTTCTTAGTGTGTATTCATTGTGTTATATAAACAATGTAATTAGTTTATTATTTCCACTATTGGTACAATCAGCTTAAAAGTAACTTATTTGAGATGCCTCCAAAATTAATGACTATCTTTTGTTAATCAAATGCATAGGAGTAGAGGGGATACTTTTGTTTTATTTTAAAAAATCTTTTTGGTCATAGAATTTTGTAGTTTTTATTAAGTGTTAATTCAGTTAAATTTGGTTACTTCATAGTCAAAACAAGTACTTTTTAAATAAAGATTTTCAACAGTATAAATAGTTATTTACATTTTATTTCTTGCATTTGAACTATTGAATACTTTAACCCAGAAAGTAGAGTTTATATAATTTTTTGATGGTGTGAAAATTGAAATATGAATTATTAACTACAATGATATTTGAACACACCATTTACTAGTGTTAACCTGTGTCTTTGTCGATGTCATTAACCCATTATTTGAACTAATTCTAAGAACTAGAGTACTTCGTTCTATAAGAAATATTTTCTGATATAGAGTTAAAGGTCATAATATTGGTATTTTGTTTATTTAGATTTCTAGTCAATAATTAATAATAGGTAAGACTTAATTTTGGCTTTAAAAAGTCAGTTTGTCTTCTGAGAAAATAGTGTTGGAAGAAGAACAGACAACAGATTTTATAGGGTATTTCACATTTCACATTTAGTTTTCTGCAAAATTCTTTTATGCCAACTTCTTTTAATTATCAGGGAAGTTGTATGATATTGTAATACTTGTTTTATCATTGAGAAACTGAGAAATAATATTAGCTATTGTTTAATTTTCCTTCAGGTATATCAGGTAGGTGCTGAATGCTTTATATCAGCAGTCCCCACCCTTTTTGGCACTAGGGACCAGTGCTTCTGTGAGAATCTAATGCCTGATTATCTGAGATGGAGCTGAAGCAGTGAGTGATGCTAGCTCTGGAGCAGCTGCAAATACCAATGAAGCTTTGCTTGCTTGCCTTCCACTCACCTCCTGCTGTGTGGTCCAGTTCCTAACAGGCCATAGATCTTAATAGGCCAAGGCCTGGGTATTGGGAATTCCTACTTTATATAATATTATAAAGTAGGTAGTGTTATTTTCAATTTACACATGAGGAAACTGACTCTTATGCTAAATTTAGGAACTTTTCTAGGGACACCCAGCTAGCAAATGGAAGAGCCAGAATTCAGACCCATTCATGTTTCACTATAGAGGTTAAGGTCTTATCTGCTGTGTGTTACTGTTCTTTCTATAAATATAATTTTGTTATTTATTATGAATATAAAATAGCTTTTGAGGATTTAAAATTGTTTTCTTGGTTTAAAAAAATCATTTAAAAATAGTTTTGATCACCTTTCTAAATTTTTAAACCCTTTTTTTCCTTTTTTTTGTTCATTTAAGAAACTTCTACAGCATCCAGAACTGAGTAATAGTCAACTTCTGGCAGATTTTCTCTCCCCCAATGGTGGAGAAACACAGTTTTTGGATAAGATACTACCAGATGTAAACCTTGGTAAGTCAATTTAAAGAATCGTATGTAAGAGGTTAAACTGAAAAGGATCAGCATTTTCAGATTAATTTAGAAAAATAGTTTATATAGTGAAGCCATGTATCAAACTCTAAAGGAGTTCGATGGGAGGGCTGGGTAGTTTGCATGTTGTAAAATAGTCACTATATTTATGACTCCTGCTATTGCTATAAGTCTCCTTTTTGTAAATTGAACTGAAAGAAATTTAAGTGGTATTTATCAATTTTGACTATTTTTCATAGTCATTTCTAAATGCTTGAGAAAATCTCAAGATGTTTGATATTTTATAATAAAAGAACCTGGAGATAAAATCAAGAATAAATTTTGGTAAACAGGATTAAAATATTTTTAATCTAAAATTCAGAATATAAACTATTCAAATAGCCAGTTTAAATGTAGCAAGTCTTAAAACTTTTTTCTTTTGATAAACTTTTGTATATTTTTAGATGTCTTTATAATTCACCATTGTTTAAAACCTTTTGAAAACATTTATGTAAAATTTCATATATTCATAAAAATAGAAAATTTGTATAATGAATTCCTTACTCTATTTCAACAATTATTAACACTTGTCTTGTTCCACCTCTTACCCCACCTCCTCCCCCACTGGATTATTTTAAAGTAAATCCCAAATGTTGTATCTATAAATGGTTAATAATACCATAGTTATTGTACATTTCTGTTCAGCGTAAAATTGTCAATTATAAATATTTTTTACTTTTCACTTGGCTGTTTAGTATTTAAAATTACCTAGTGAAGTATTCATAGGAGCAATTATGAGGTATATGATATACCTTCATAAAATTAATATTCTACTTTTAATTACAGGAAAAATTATAAAGTCTGTTCCTGGAAAACTAATGAAAGAGGTGAATAACTGATTTATGAATATTCTATAATATGATAGTTATAAGTGTGTTTAAATATCAATGAGTTTTAATGGGTTATATGAGACTAAGAATCATAATCTTGATTTTCGATTTTTATACTGTAATCTCTGTATTACCACAGAAAGGTCAGCATTTGGAACCTTTCATCATGAATTTCATTAATTCTTGTGAATCTCCAAAGCCTAAACCAAGTAAACCAGAACTGACAATTCTCAGCCCTACTTCAGAAAACAACAAGAAGGTACTGCGTATTGCCTTAGCCATTAAGTTTGTAGTTGTCTTACTTGAGGTGACTTTTCTGTTGTAGGGAGAATCCTGTGTTAATGAAATGGATGAGACTTTATATTTCCTTTATATGGATATAAGTTTTACAATGTAAGGGGAGTACTATATATAGTTACTTGGTTCTTTGCTTTAACAGGGTAAATATTTCTTTAGATAATATATTTGCAAACTTCTACCATTTCTGTATTTGTGGGATTTTTTAAAGTGCTTTTCTTAGGTAGTAAATCACCAACTTCCAATAATCTTCCAATATAGTAAGAATTACTTACTATAAAGTATTTGTTTATTTGATAGTATTACTAACATTAAGGCTTATAAAATATTTCATCTATTCATGAAACAACTATTTTATTGTGTGCCTATTAAAGAGTGTTAGGCACTGTCCACAAGCTCACTTTAGTGCCAGAGTAGTGCCCAGCCTGGGGAGCTGTGTGAGCTAAAGGACAGCCTTGCTCTCCCCACAAACACCTTCATTTTTGTTATTACTATAAAAGGTATCTTTAATATTTTTTTCACTTTATAACTTTATTGTTGGTAAACAGAAATACAGTTGATTTTTGTGAATGATTTTTTATTCAATATTCTCGCTAGACTTGTATTAATTTTTTTTTTTAAGGCCTACAGCACCTGGTGTTCCTAGGTAGTCTCCCATCCAATTACTAACCAGGCCCGACCCTGCTTAGTTTCCAAGATCAGATGAGATAAGGCATGTTGACTTGTATTAATTTTAGTAACATATCAGTTCTTTTAGATTTACTCTGTTATCTGCAAATGATGGCAGATTTTGTTTCATTTATGGCTACGACCTGTACAAAGGGAATTATGTCAGTGTTTCACCATTAAATAGTATAGTGTAGCTTTATTTGTAAATATCCTTTATGTGAAGTTAAGGAAGTTTATATCCGTGTTTATGGGTGGACTTTCTTCTCTCCTTGTGGGGTTTTGGTATCGAGGTTTTATTAAATTTTTTTCTATTTGCTAGTAGAATTATAACTGGAATTATTAGTTCTTTAAGTAATTGATAAAACTTGTTGGTAAAATCATCTAGGCCTTATTTTGTTTGCAGGAAGGTTTTTTCACAACCAAATTTAATTTCTTTAATTATAATGTTCTTCAGGTTTATTTAATGAGTCAGGTTTTGATAATATTTTCCAACAAATTTTCCATTTTATCTAAATTTGAAAATCATTTGGCTTGAAGTTGACAATAATATTCTTTTTTTATTTTCTTTGACATCAGTAGCTGTCTCCTTTTATTCCTAACATTGTGTCTTCTTTTTCTTTTATTTTTTGATCAATCTCGCCAAAGGTTTTTCTCCATTTTATCTTTTGGCCTTGCTGATCTTTTCTATTAGACTTAAATTTTTAGTTCCTTAATTTCTGCTATTTGATGGTTATTATTGAAAATGGACTCTTTTTGCTTATTTTGGGGGTAAGTGGAGCTGGGATTTTGTTGCATTTCATCATTTTTACTATAAATAATTTTTCATATCTTATTTTTTTCACATTGATTGTGAAAAATCACTTTCTGGGCTTTGACTATTATTGTCCAAATAAGCTTTGCTTAAGGCTTAATATTCACCTCTAAACACCCTTTAATTGAATAGCAATTTATAATTTCCAAATCATGTTAGTTTTGAAATTAGCTATCATTAATACATTTATACATTTTTGTATGTTCATTTGCTACTTTTGGTGTAAACGGGGTTCTTTATGGGTAATGAATTATCTGTTGTGTCTAAAATGAATGCAGACTTTTATGTAATATTTTGGGGAGCACTTTTTAAATTCAATTTTGGGTATAAATGTGGAATTTTGGAGGCAGATCTTAACCTATCTGATATTCTGCTTTGTTTGAAAAAATTTAAATGCGTTTGCTCTATGTCATTTTAGCTTTAGTGATTTTTATCAGCCGGTGTAATATGTTACCTGTCTCTTTATTATTTCAACTTTTACTTTAGCTATTCAATGATCTGTTTAAGAATAATGCAAACCGTGCTGAGAATACAGAAAGAAAGCAAAATCAGAATTATTTTATGGAGATGATGACTGTAGAAGGAGTTTATGATTACCTGATGTATGTAGGTAAGACCTATGTGGTTACTGTTGAAACCTGTTTTTTATTCATCACATTTCTTCTGTGATGCAAATTAATGCCCTTATGTATTGTCCCGTTGTAACTTTTTTTAAATTGAAGATACTACTTTTATAAAAATTCAGTACAATTGGTCTTGAACATTTAAAGTTCCTAGTGTTTACAAATAAAATATTGACCATTTGTATTTTTTTATATTGGAAAATATTTATCTTAACAATGAAGTATTCCATGTAATCCTCAGGACGAGTGGTTTTCCAAGTTCCTGACTGGCTTCATCATCTCCTAATGGGAACTCGAATACTCTTTAAAAACACCTTAGAAATGTATACTGACTACTATCTTCACTGTAAACTAGAACAGCTATTTCAGGAGCACCGTTTGGTCTCACTTATAACACTTTTCAGAGGTTTGTGTTTTCTTATGTGTTTGTTTCATATTTTGTGTACTCTTAATGATTTTAATGGGATATAAAAGAGTGAGAAATCTTGTTTTTCTTTGGTTTATTAGTATGTCCACTCTGAGGAAATACTTGTAGATAATAGGTGAAAATTCCAGTAAACATTTTTTTTTTTCTCTTTTTAGATGCTGTATTCTGTGAAAATAGTGAACCTCGCTCTCTCCAAGATAAGCAAAAACGAGCAAAACAGACTTTTGAAGAAATGATGAATTACCTTCCAGGTATAATATTTAAGAAGTAGTTTGATATAGATTAACACTCCTTTGAGATCACAATATATAGTAATTATTGAGGCTAATTTTTACTATGAGTTTTCATTTTAGAAATAGTTATAAGGGCCAATTAAAATTAACTCATTAGTTAAATAAAATTTAGTTTTTATAATGTTAGCACTAAGAACTTTAAGACAAGGCTGTTTCTACTCACACTAAAATAGCCAGATTCTTTTAACGTTGACTTATAATCAGAGTAATTAAAGTGACATTTTTGCAGAACAGTTGGAGTCCTGCTGCCTACTATACCCTGAGAAGAGCTACACTAGTGTTTATGACTAAAGGATCAAAGTTTATTCCAAATTTATTGAGTACCTTCCATGTGCCAGGTACTATGCAGAGTGCAAGGGGCATAAAAAGTGTACTTGGATAGGTCAAGTCTAGCAGGAAGACAGACATGCAGACAGAACATACATGTGATAATAGAGGCATGTTCAAGTCATAGAGTATCTCAGTGGAGGAGAATGATCACCTTTCCTATAAAAGAGATAGGCTCGGGCCACTAAGTAAATGAATGGTAGTAACCACTAACTAAGATGGGAAATACAAGGAACAAATGTCAAGGGGTCAAAGCAGAGGGTACTTAGTTTAGGACATTTTGAGTGTGAAGTGCCTATGCATTATTTGGGAGGAAATATCTAATAAGCATTTAGATATCCAGGTTAGGAAATTAGTGGAATGATGGTACATTATAGAGATATGGAAGTCATGTGTGAGTGGATAATAGTGCCAAGGAAGAAAGTATAGAGTAAGAATTGAAGAGGGCTTAGGACTGTACCTTAGAGAATTCTCATCATTGAAAAATTAGTCTCAGAATAGTCCTGCTGCTGCTCTGTGTGAAGACAAGTTAAATCCCTGGTCTAAATGTAAAAGTGAACAGAAGCTATTTTGAGTAAGTCTTCTGTAAGCGATGAAATGATTTTTTACCTGTTTTATAGTATCATACATATAACATTCATGGTTTGGGCACTCTTAGTTTTGATATTCAGGAACAACAGGGAAAGCCAGTGAATGTAATAATTTGTTATTTCGTTGAGGCACAAATTTGAATCACATCTACTTTAAGACGTTCAGGAAGGAGTAATTTAGCTAGTGAGTAAGCTTAGCATGCCTTTCTATTATCTTTTTCATTTCTTAGTGAGTCCTGAAGGATCTGAAAGAATTTCTTACTTTTGTCTGTTATGTTTCACACATATTAATTAGGATATTCTCTGTGAATTAGAGGATTCACAAAGATCCATATTGGGCTGCAAGGTTGAGAATATCAAGGATCTACTATGCTATTGTAAATTCAATTTGGCCTTTACCTCTTGGGGTTAGATTTACCTCGTAGAAGCAAACATAAAGTGAGAATTTTCTATGAACAGCCTTAAGAGTTTCATTATGACTGTAGGGGAAAGGGACAAATATTTGAGCACCTTGTTTACATGAGAATGATTTTCTTTTCCTGCTTGGGGGAAAACATGCAGCAGAGAGTTTAATATTAACTCATTAGTTAAATTAAATTTGGTTTTTATAATGTTAGTGCTAAGAACTTTAAGACAAGGCTGTTTCTACTCACACTAAAATAGCCAGATTCTTTTAACGATGACTTATAATCAGACTAATTAAAGTGACATATTTGCGGGACCATTGGAGTCCTGCTGCCTACTATACCTTGAGAAGAGCTACACTAGTGTGTATGACTAAAGGATCTTTTTGGTAGTAACAGGAGTGATAAATGACAACTGCGCAGTCAAACATGAATTGGAACTTTTGGACCTTGAATTAGTGTTTAAACAGTTTCCTAAAGGATTGTTCCGAACATGGTTAATAATAATTATGTAAAAAGTACAGAAATAAAGTAGTCATAGTTATTAAGAAAAGCCTATGTTAAAAATTAAACTTTTGTTTTTTGATATTAAGATATTCAAACATTAGGAAAATATAAAAAGTAAAAAATAGAAGCCGTCCTCTTCCCACTACAAAGAAGTAGCCACATGGTCCAGTTTGGTGTTAATCCTCACAGACATTTTTCTGTGCATTTCTATACATGTATTTATAAATGTACAGACATAATTTTAGGGTTTATTTTGTTTGTTTTACCAGAATGGAATAATACAATATATATGATTTTCCAACTCTGTTTTTTCACTTAATACAGTATATAGGCAGATTTCTTTACTACAGCATTCAGTAGGCTTGCAGTATGCTTTGTGCTTTGCGAATCTCCAAAGAGGATGCACGATACTGCATTTCTCAACTTGACCATAGAACCCTTGTAGAAACCCTGATTTAGGAAATTCTGATTTACAGTTTTTCATATCTGGGAAACAGAGTGGAGATTTTGTTTGATCCAGTTAATGACAAGTTACTTTATAATATGTAATTGTTTCACATGTGGCTTTCTTGTATAGACCTGATCGTCAAGTGTATTGGTGAAGAAGCCAAGTATGAAAGCATCAGACTTCTATTTGATGGCTTACAGCAGCCAGTTCTCAACAAGCAGGTAAAATTTATTAAAGCAGGTTGACTAGAGTTGAATAGGTTTAGTGAATGACACAGTAAGGTGTCTGGTATATAATTAATTGTGAAGTGACACTACTAAATCAAGGCAATGTAATTCCAGTGTTCAAATAGAAAAAAGTTTTATTTGTGTTCCTTTTTTGCTGATAACCTTTTTTCTTTATGATGTGAATTGTTTTGATTTAAAATAAACATTCATTGTAGAAAATTTGGAATGTACAGAAAGTTCGTGAATCAAAGTAAAAATTTGCAAATCAAGAATTACATCATTCAGATTACATAGAATAACCACAGTTAATTAACATTTTTATGTTTAGAGTACATATTCTGTTGAGATATTAATAGAGTGGCAATTTTGTATCATACTTATTTCTTTAAAATTTTTATTACATATAAAATATCTAACACAAAATGAGTTATGAGGCATAATAATAAAATGTCCACATGTTAATACACTCATCTTAAAAAGAGAACATTATTGATACTGTTGAAGCTACTTTTGGACTTGTTTTATATTGTCAGTTCTAGTCTTTGCCTTCCCATTTAGAAGTAACCACAGTCTTGGTTGTTTTTCTTTTTGTCTAATGCTTTAAAAATTATTAATTTTTAGCTGACTTATGTTTTATTGGACATTGTGATACAAGAACTGTTTCCAGAGCTGAATAAGGTAACTGAAAAGCAGAAATTTTCTTTTTATATTTAATGGGATGCTGACATTTATTTTAATAAGGACACAAAAATTAAGGAAATTCTTGTGACTGTGATTCTTTTAAAAATGAACAACCTTAACAAGTGGCACTTTATATTTTTTTATTCAACATGCTCAAACATAGGGTGGATTTTGGGGTCAGGAACTGAATAGCTTCTGCCTTGACTTCATCCCCTCCTTATTACAAGCAGAAAGGGATTATTATACCCTGTAGAGTCTTTCCGGAGGAAGATGTAAGGTTAAGTTGTAGCATTAGAATGGGCCGAGCTCTTCAGGCTGTCATCTATAATTGAATACTGCGTAAGTCAGGCTTGAGTATTTTTGAAGTAGTTGAGCTTATATGAACCCAAGAGCACAAAAAGAATTGGAATTGGAGGATGGTAATATTATTATTATATTAAATCTTGAGGACTTTGAGGTTTGAGCAAAAATTTATTATTTTTTTCTGTTTTTATTTTTCGACTAATATTTTTTACTATTTTTTGGTCAGATGAAATAACTACTCTTCAAGGTTGTGGTATAGCAATGTCAGTTTCATAGAGTAGAAGAATCCAGGTTTGGACTATTTACCTATTAATTATGAGCTTTCATATTATGTTACTATTATATATATGTTAAAACAGTGGGATAATTACAGACATTTTATGTTCAATTTATATGGGAATCAGTACCAGGAAACCTTCGGCTCTCTTTTTAAGACTTTGTAAGGTCTGTCACTATACCTTCCCATTTTTCTCATCTCTAAAGCATAAATGTTATCTGTGGCATAGGCCACGTAATTTATTTGGTTTGATTTTTTTTACATAATTTAAATGTATATGTCTTAGGTTAGAATTTTAATACATTAGAACTGTGGAATTGTTAGGCAATTTATAAATGAACCTATTTTGTCTTCAATTAAATAGATTTATTTTTACTTATAGGTACAAAAGGAAGTTACCTCTGTGACATCCTGGATGTAAACATTTGGATTTGGGATAGAATAACCAGTTGAAATTTCTTCTGTGTTAGTGTAATAGATACTGTTTTTTTCTTTTAACTTTTGTATATTCTTGTATATATCATGTAATTCAGTGTCTGAAATTTTGATTTTTTTTGTCTTAATAAAGACTAACATACTTGATAATGATTAAAAGTGATTGGGTTTCATAGCCTTTCATTTTACACCTGTTATTCAAATTTTATTAGAACATATATTACTTGTTATTGTCATTTTTTAAAGAGATAATTTATAATCCCCTTAGAGCAAACAGATAAGACTGATAACCTTTTTTATTGTATCACCTTGAAAATAATTATGCAAGGTCTGATTTGCTTTCTCATTTAGAATTCATACATTTTAGTAGATCTATTTTCCCGTTTTCCTTTGTTTTCTACATAGCTAACTGTGTGTCTATAAAGAAGACATCCTTTATGAGTTTTTGAGAACAAAGGACTTCTTACTCTTGCTGGATTATTGACGGGTTATAGCCCTCAGGTGTGAAAACTGAGTATTTACAAATATTTGTGATTGTGTGGTTACAGCTACATTTTACTGAATGTATGTAATTATATTTCAAAAGCTTTTATAAGCAATTTAGTCAAGTAGATTTTTGGTTTATGTTATCAGTTGTCTCTCCAAAAGAAAAATATGGAATTAATAGTATCTCTTAAAAAAAGTTAATTTAAATGATTATTTTTCAAGATTCAGTGTTTGGAATTCTACTTACAATTCCTTACCATTTTATGCTTTTCTTCTTGAAAAAAATTTGTCTTTCATGATTGAGCATTTGTGTTTGGTTATTTGTTGTACTGTTCATTCAGAATATATTTTTTGAGTTTCGGCCATGTATTAGGCACTCTAAATTGTGGGCACTCTAAATATAATTTGGAAAACTACCCATTTAGTGATATTGTTATTTTTTCTAAGGTTTTAAAAAATGGTCATTAGGTGTTGTAAATTTTTGAAAAGGTTTTGTCAGTAGTTCTATCATATTATTAATTACTTGAAAGTTCTAGAATATGAGTTGCTGAGAATCAGTGCTGTAAAACCAAACCTCAAACATTAACTAATTTCTCAGGGATGGGTAGAAAAATCAGGCTTATTTTTCACATTTAAATCCATGGCATTTCGAACATTATTTTTTCAAATGTCATGGTGAATTGGAAAAATAAAACATTTTACAGCCCCTTTTATGACATTCTCATTATTCTCCTATAAATTGCAATATTCTGTTTATTTAGATGAGAAAAAAGTTGTTATGGGTCTGTTGGTCTCCTTGGGTGACCATTACAAAATACCATAGATTGTTGGCTTAAATAACAGAAATTTATTTTCATAGTTCTAGAGGTTGGGAAGTCCAAGATCAGGGCGCCAGTAAGGTAGGTTTTATTCTGAGGCCTCTTCCTTTGTTGCAGACTCCACTTTTTCACTATGCTTATGACCTCTGTGCCAGCTGTGGGAGGAGAAAGGAAAAGAAATTTCTTTCTTTTTCTTATAAGGCTACCAATCCTGTTGGATTAGGGTCCCACCCTTATGATCGTATTTAACTTTAATTACTTCCTAATGGCCCCATTTGTACATATAGTCACATTGGAGTTTAAAGTTTCAAATTATGAATTTTAGGACATAATTCAGTCCATTGTAGTTGGTAAATTCTATTTAAAGAAAATGTGATGTATAAAAATCTACATATATAAAATCATATTATAAAAGGGAAAGGAACTAGATGCAGTACCTATTTGCTAGGCATTTTATATATATTATCACATTTCATTATCCATCACAGTAACCGTGAGATGGTGTCATTCCTATTTTATAGGAGAGGATATTGAAGCCAGAGAGAGTGGTGAAGTTAGGGTTCAAACTTAGATCTGTCTCTCTAGTCTTCATGTTCTTGTTAGTGTTGCCCAATGGAAGGAGCTTTCATTTCCAAAAGTAGTCACTCTGGGTCCCTTTAAAAAGTATGTGCGACTGGTGTATTTTAAATATTTTACTTTGTACTTTCCTTTTAGTCCATTTTTTTGTGTGTCCTCTACTGCATGAGCTTCACATTTTGAAAGGTGACGGGTCCCTAAAAGATTGTTAAAGCCAGTGAAAAGAGTTTTTTTAATTTCACTATTTTTTGTTAATTCGATATTTATGATTTATCAAATTATATTAAAGTAATATTTTACTCCAGGTAATGCATGTGGCTGTATTTCAGTAAAACCTTATTTACATAAACTAATGGTAGGCAGGATTTGGCCCTCAGGATATAATTTGCTAATCCCTGATGTAGAACAAAAGGGAGAGGGAAAAGGGATACTGTTAGAAAAATTATAATCACCTTCATATTAGGGAGTAGGGGGAGGAGGCTACCAAATGTTGTCTTTGGAGACAGGTGGCTATCCTTCATGGAGAACTTAATTGGCCTTTTGGTTTTAGAAGGGTTAGAGTAAAGAATGGTTAAACTGCTCTGCATAATGAAAAGGGTTTTTTTTTTTTTTTTAGGTAGAGAATTTCTTTTGATTATTTTCTCTGGTGGAGGTGATGCTGGAGAAAATGACTGTGGCTTTTGGATGGAGTAAGGAGGTTGGCAGAGAGGTACAAGAGAAGGAATTATGCACAATTTATTCAGTTTATTCAACAAGTGTGTATTGAACACTTACTATGTGTCAGACTGTTTTAGATGCTAGGGATATATTTGCATTTATAAGCCTACATTCACTCTGGGGAAACAGACAATAAACAAAATAAGTAAGGAAACGGCATGTGAGAAAGTAATAAGTGCTCAGAAGAAAAACTAAGAAAGGAAATAGAGTGGTATGGGTAGAGAGTTGCAATTTTAAATAGTGTGGTCTGGAACATTGAAGAAAAGATCTGAAAGAGTGAGAAATCAGGTCATACAGATATTTAGGGGCCCATGTTCCAACTAGAGAAATAGCAAGTGTAAAGGTTTGAGTAGGAGTGTGCCTTTTTTGTAGGAAGAATAGTAAGGGGATCGATGTGGCTACAAATGGTGAGTGAGGAGAGATAATGTCAAAGAATGGGAAATCATCACAGAGGGCCTTGTAGGCCATTGTAATAACTCATTTTTACTTAGAGTGTGATGGAAAGGTTTTAAGTAGGCGAGCAACCTGATCTTGCTTATATTGTAATAGAATTTCAGTGGTTGATGTATTGAGAATGTTGAAAATAGACTAAAATGGAGCAAAAGTAGAGACAAGGAACTCATTTAGGAGTCTGTTGAAGTAATTCAGGTGAAATGGCAGTGATTCGAATCAGGGTAGTACTTGGGGAGTTGTCGAGAAGTTGAAGTTTTGTTTTCTTTGTTTTCCTTTTTGTTTAAGTTAGGCAGCAGGATTTACCACTGGATAGATAGCATGTAAGTTTGAGAAAAAGGGACAGCCAAGGAAGTCCACAAGGTTCAGCCTGAGCAACAGGAAGGATGAAAGGTCCATTAAATGAGATGAGAGAGATTGTGACTGGCACATGTTTTGAGGAGAGATCAGGAACTCATTTTTGGACATGTAAAGTTTGAGATGCTTATTAATCATTCCAACTAGAGATGCCAAGTAGGCAGTTGTAGTTATGAATCTGGAGTTCAGGGGAGAGACGCAGGCTGGAGATATAAATTTGGGAATCACTAGCATCTAGATGCGTAAAGTAATAAAACTGGATGAGGCCACCAAGAGATGAAGTGTAAATAGAAAAGAAAAGCAGTCTAAAGACTCTGCTCTGGGACTCTCCAGTGCTTAGCAGTAAAGGAGCTGAAGAGAAACCCCCAAAGGGGCTCCATGTGATAGGTTTGGCCAGTGCTTTTTAGGAGCATTGATAGTTCAGATTGAGTTTTCTTTTTCATTGTAACTTCCTCCAGTTATGCCCACTTAGTAAAGCTTTAACACTACAACTTTATGCTAGCTACTCTTGGGAGTGAAGGGAGTACTATATCCACATTTTAGGACAATACAAAATAGAGAAAACTGGTACAGCTTGGAGAGTTGACAGTGAGGTTCCTGAACAAATTGCGGAGAGGCCTTAAGCAGCTTCCAGCAAGATGCTGGCAACTGAGACATGTTGTAAGGAATTCCCAGGAAGCCTCACAAATAGGGGTTTGCCAAGGTATTTTCTTTGGAGACTTAAGTTTTAAAAAGTGGCTCAAAAGTCTGAAAAAAAAATGGGTGAAATTTTTTATAAGGAAACATGTATTTTAGATAATTTTCTAAAGTTTGTTAAATCTTTATTAGTACTAGAATGAAAACTGCATAATTTTACCTGAGGGATTTTATACATGTCATTTATTTATTTTTATTAACAAGTACTTTATTTTTTATTCATTCATTCATTCATTCCCCCTCCACCCCCCCGCTCCCTCCTTCCCTCTCCCCTCTGGTACATGTTACTTAATGTCTGGACTATTCTATTTAACTTCCCTCCTTCGTTACCTCCACACACATGTGTACACAGGGAAACTTTTTGACATGTTCTCCTAGTCTGGGCTAGTTTAAGCTTTTGATTTTAAGTCACAGAACTCAATTCAACTTTGCTTTAAAAAAAAAAAAAGAGAAGTAATGTATTTGTTCGTGTAACCCAGCTATTGAAAGGCGGTAACAGAGTTGTGCTCAGTATGACTTATCCACACTTGAATAGTATCAGGATTCTCTATGGACACACGTCCATTTCTTGTCTTAGCTTCTGTCTTGTTCTGTCATTCTTACAGATGCCTTCATTTGGGGGAGGACAGTTACAAGCAACTATGGAATCGCAGGTGATGCAAAGTGGCAAAAACAGGAACTTGCCTCTACATCCTTGTGTATATAAAAGCTTGTAGAAGGATTCTTATTGTCTTGGCTTAGGTCACATGCCTGTCCTTAGGCCAGTAACTTAGGCCAAGACAATCAAACACTGTATTGTGAGGCCTAGATCATATATATTTTTTTGTAATTAACTGTCCTAGCAGAACTACCTGGGATAGGAGAGAGGAGGTATCTCCCAAAGAGTAGGGGCTCTTTCCAGGAGTGGAAAGAGATTCTGAATAGACAAAGATAAGCATGCGTTTGTGTTTTTAGATGTCAGTTTTATCAGTCTCTTCCACTCAGCTGTGAATAGTCTGTAAGTGCAGAGATGTGTCTTACTCATCCCTGATTCACCTCTGTGTACCCCAGCACCGCTTGGCACTAAGAAAGTGATCAATATAAAGAGAATCATTTGTAGAGGGTGGTGAGGTGCGTTGAGTGAAATGAACATGAAAGGTTTTAGGCAGGGCTGTGGCATGTAATCTAGGTCTCTCACCTTCTGTATGACTGTTACTAGAGTGAAAGAAGTGTTGAAGACAACAGGGCACATGCCTAGGTAAGGTGATTATGCCGACCAACCTTAGGATATGGTGACTTATGCTCAAACTCACAGATTTCTGAATCAAATCAATGTTTCAAGAGACGGAAGAAGCAGAGAGGGATGTTGGAGAGAGAGAGAAGGGGCCATTGTAGAGTTATAACTGTTGAGAAGTTATAAGGGAGCACAAAGACTGATGTTGACTTTTTCCTGCTAAATAACCAGAAAAACAAGATATTCTGAATGTGGCCAAAATTTTGAATAATTAAAAGAAGTTAAGTGTGTAAGAGATGCAGCTATGTGGACACGGACAGATACAATTAAGTTTTGGGTAGCAGGTAAACTGAGCACCAGAGGGATAGAGAATGGCATTACTAAGGCACTGCATACTGTTGAATTGCACCAATGCGCAAAGTTATTCTGTTTTAATTTTCTGTATTGATGAAAAGTTATTCATATGGTCTTATAATAGATTAATGACCTTTTATGAATCATGAATTTGTGTTAATTTTTATAATTTACTAATATTTCTAATAGTTATACATTCTTTTCCCTTTGTTGGGAATTAACCTTATGGCATTAAGTTTATGGCTGGTATTTTGTGGAGATTAGCAATTGTCTCAGCTCTGGTGTTGAGTGCACTGTTGTGTCTTGATTAGTTTTGAAGGAGATGAGTAGTAATTTATTACAGTGTACAAATTTAAGTACTGCACTTTCTGTGATTTATTTTTATTTATATTTTAAATGTGAATTATACTGCCTTCCCTGTTAGCCTTGTAATGCTACTCTCGTTCACTTGCATTGTCGTGGGCTTTCCTGAGTGAGATAGGGATGGGTAGAGTTAAGCAGGGATCAGATATTCAAGGAGCTAGCAGCCTACTGATCTGTGGTGTAGTTTAAGAAGACAGTCATTACTGATGTTACATTGCTAGTTTGTTCATTGTGATTTATTCTCCAGTAGTGTCTGGGATGTCTGATTTTATACTCCCATCTTTTCTTTTCACTTTACCCAAGTGTTCAATAAGGAATAAGGCAGGGCTGCACAAAGAGAACGTGAGTAGAGTAATATCTGTGTTGTAGGTGAATGATGTAGAGTAATAATCTGTGTTGTAGGTGAATGATGCTATAAGCATTTCTTGGTTATGACACAAAAGTTATGATTACAAAATTTTATACCGTGATAAGTTAAATTTTCAAGAATGCTGTTTGTATTTATGCTAATATATAAAGTTAACATATTTTGATTGTACCGGTAAAATAAAACTTATGTTTATTCTTTAAATGTATTGATTTCCTTCCTTCATCTGTAGCATGTATGTCTGAAAAAAAATCAACATCAAATTAAAAACTTCAAGCTAAATTAGAAATTTCATTAGCCATATTTATTTTTCTTTGTAAAGTAATATCAACATGTCTTAGGGGATGATTTCATTACTAATATGTTTACTAATTAATGATTTTCTTACCAAAGGAAAGTTGTAATGTTAATTTTATGGTGTTTTTGGCTTTCATAAAAATCTGGATATCACACATGTGAATGATCGGTGTTGGAGAGAAGGTTAAGAGCTCAGTATAGTTTTCCAGACAGACTTAGAAGATAGCGTTTTTGTTTTTAACATACTATTTTGCGTTTATTTGTTGTGCTTGAGAATTCTCAGAATGTTCATAGGGGCCATTTCTCAGTTTTGATTTTCCAGAATGAAACATCTTTATTTGGAGGAATTCCAAGGTAATTGGGAGAGAGAATACTGATTTTCACTACAGAAGCCGAAAGGGTGGAGTTAAATCTTCACTCAGCCTTCTGTCTTTATGAAAGACAATTTGGGCTCAGCTCCTTAGATGCTCCCTTCTGATTGGAGGCCCAAGGACAAAGGCTCTTTGGATGCAGTTGTGGTGGAGGTGAACCCAGCAGCAAGCACAAGTTGGTGTATGAAGACTGTTCCTGTGGCAGGGTTTAAGCCATGCCTCACTTTTCTTGCTTGTTCTCCATTTTCTAGGCCAGACTTTCCATGCTCAATGATTCTGGGAACTAGCTAATATTCTTCTGATATGTTTGTGTTTATAGACCTTTTTTTTTTTTTGTAACCAGGAATCCCGATGAATAGAGTCTATAATTTCCATTGCTGCTTTGAATATTCTGGCCATCTTTGTCATGGATTAAATTGTTTTTATACCCTAACTAGCTTCTTTGTTAACTTATTTGCTAACTTCATGAATATTTCCATGAAGTATTTCATTCAGGTTCTTAGAGGTCTCAGTACTACTCAAAAGAGATTTAAGATCTCTCAATTTGTAATAAAAGTTTAAAGCTTTTCCTTTTGACTTCATTAGATTAAAAAAAAAATGGTTCCTTTTGATTTGCTGTAATTGAGCCAGATTGGCTTCTAAAATGTATCTCATTTTATCGGCACAAAAATTACATTAATTATAATTTTTTACTTGTGAAACAATTTCAGACACAGAAGCCGCTGATTGCCTTGGGGCTGCCCCAGCTCTTTATGTAGATCATGCCAGGTGACTATTGTGGGTTATTTGTGTCCTCTGGAACTATATGTAGAGGTCTTGTGTTAGGACTTCAGTCCTGAACCCCAGGACCTGAGAATGTGACCGTATTTGGAAATAGAGTTTTTGCAGATGATTACAATGAAGTCATTAGAGTGAGCCTAATCCAGTATGATGACTGTGTCCTCATAAAGAGGAAATTTAGATACAGACATATGCACAAGGAAAAGAACATGTAAAAACATGGGGAGAATGCCTTCATTGAGGCAAAGAGAATGCTTGAGGCTATTAGAAGCTAGAAGAGAGACCTGCAACAGATTGTCCCTCTGGCCCTCAGAAGGAAAGAACTCTGCCAACTTGATCTCGACTTTGAGGCTCCAGAACATGACATGATAAATTTCTGCTGTTAAGCCACCCAGTTTGTGGCACTGTTATAGCAGCCCCATGAAACTAATCAGGGACATTTCCTAATTTTGGCAAGCCTAGCCACACATCCATGGGACTCCATACTCCCTGAGGGAGCATCTTTTTCTAATGGACAGTTATGAGCAGTCTAAACTTTCTTCTAAGAAACCCAGCTTCCTGTTTGTTGCAAAATGCTGACGGTGACTCTGCCACTAAGTGGATTTAAGATGTGAGGGATCAAGGTCTATTGTGTCGTGTGTGTGCTTGAAGAAGATTCTTAGATTCATAACCAGTTCAGATAAATTAGTTAAAATCCCCAACACTCACTTGGACATTTTTTATTTTTAGGAGACCATGGTAGACCTCAACAGTTTCTACATTAGATTCTGTACACAAAAGCCAAAAAATTTAGTAGTCTTACTTGAAATACTTTATATAGTCTTCTTGCCTACCTAAGAATTACATGCATTTTTCTTTTCATTTTTTGGAGGAGGAGAAGAGGGATAGGGAGAGTTGTCAGGTGGCAATGGAAATGATATCAGTGATAAACTGTCACAGAGTTTTCCTTTAGTCATATGGTCTTGTGTTATAGTTATTTGCTTGAGAAAAGAAATAACTACTAAAGACAAAGTGTATATCTTCAATTTTATTGTTTGGAATCTACAGTAGCAAAGTGTTTTGAGGTAATTTCTTCAACCACTGTACAATACATGCACACATATTTAGAAAACTTACAAAAATGTTCTTTAAAAATTTTTGCTGTAATAGGATTTATCCTATTTTACTAGGCTAAGCATAAAATATAAAATATACCCTAATTGCACCTTACCCTAATTTTTCTTACAATCTTATAGACATTTGTTTATAGCTAATCTGTATATTCATAGAACTGAGGGGGTTATTTTCTTGTAACAACTTTTATACAGTTTATTAAATTTAAAAATATATTTTGTATCAAGAGTACTTAATATTTGTAAACTTTAAGAAACAAACATACTCCCTCTGCAAACCTCTAGTTGCTGTTTGCTTACTATTATTTTAAGGTGAAGGCTCCCATTTTTGTTGGATCATTTATGCAATGCTAAGTAGATTCACATGGTCCTACTACCACCTTAAGCAAGTGTTTGTTCTTGGGACAAAAATCTCATCAGTCTGGATATTTCCTGAGCACTCACTCAGAGGGGCTCATTCCTAGGCAGTTTTCATATCTGTACTTGAGAATGATTTAAGAGGATTGTTTGTTTGATTTGGAGGCAGAGCTGACTTCAAAGTTCTGTTGTATATCATTTTAAAAGTCAACCCTTGTGTCCCTTCTAGGTTTTCCGTAACTGAGGAGGAGTGTGTGTGTGTGTGTGTGTGTGTGTGTATGAGTGTGTGTGTGTGCACATGTGTGCATGCGCGCACGTGTGTCACGATTAGAATAAATACAGTGCTGGCACTTGCTGGCGAAGGACAGGTGCAGGTTTAGAATTATACCTCATCTTAGAAGGTTTCTCTTATGACACTTTTATGTTAGGAAGAAAGGAGGAAAGAGCATAGGGGCAGAACTGATGGAATCTCGTAAAATTATTAACATCTTAAATACTATGTATCAGGCACTGTGCTGCTACTCTTTTAGCAAATACTTATCTAACAAATCTAAATATCCTTTAGGTCTTTCTCTTCTGTAACGTAAATCATTCCTGGGTGCCCTGTTCTTCCCTTTCTCCCTGCCCCTTGACTTGCAACCTCTGGCCTTTCCCACTGGCTGCTGCATCATTTGTTCCCTGACTTATCAAAGGCACATGGGTACAAGAGAGAATGCTACCCTGTGTTTAGTCCATTAAACTTGCTATAACAGCAGGAGCTAAAAAGGAAAAAAACAGAGACCAGAAATAAAGCAGAGATTTGTCATTCATGAGCTTGGGGCTATTGCTAGATATAAAGAGATGAGACCAACTATCATTCTGAACAGCAATTGGATATAATTGAAGGAGCACTGGACTTGCGGTCAGAAGACCTAGGTACAAGTCTTAGATCTGTCTCTTTTAATTGTATGGCCTTGAATAAGTCAACCTTTTCTGAGCTTTAGTTTCCTCATCTGTCATATGGGAAAAACAACACCTGCCTAGCCTACCAAAGTAAGTTATGGGCATCAAATAAGATAATGTGCTTAAAACTCCCTTGTAAATGATAAAGTTCTATATAAACATAAATTGTTTGCTGTATTAGAATGGTTATAAGGGAGAAAAATGATTTCTGAGGTTTAAAAATTGTTAATAAAATTTAATTAAAATTTGCATGTATAAACTAAAGATGGTTGGCCTTCCCCTCATAGAGTCCATTTTAAATTCTTTTCCTGTGTGTTCACTAAGTTATTGACCCTGAGTGATCACTTATGACCCTGTAAGCTCAGCTTCTAGGAGCCTGAGAGGATGGTCTGAACCATCGCAAAGCCAGTTCCTAAAAGGCAGGCTTAAATCTCTTGAGAAAAAAACCCAATTCCACACATTAATGGCAACATGAGTTTTTGGCTATTGGTATGAAACAATGATAATTTCCAAAAGTGAGAGAAATATTAGAGAAAAGCTTCCATGGTAACGACTTCCTGTAGAAAACATGATCCGACCTTCAACTGCTGGATAAACTACTTTCATTTTTGAGATGTATTGAGAAACCACGTTGATATCTTGGTCACCTAGAAAAATAGAGACATTATTTTACAGAAAAAGTACCAGTTAACAGTAAGAGGGGGAAAACCAATGTATTTCTCTAAAGTCCTTTGTAATTATAAGAGTGAAGATATTCCATTCGTAAGCAGAGATACAGTGTCACAGAAGAGAAGAACAGTGGTGATCATAAGTGTAAAGAATTGGTTGCTTTTTCATGTTCCAGGTGTGAAATGTGCCTGTTATTTGATATTGGATAATTGGAGGAACAGAGTCGTCTCAGCTGTGGGATGACTCAGAAAGAGGTTGTGGACATTATTGCCTTTACACCATTCCAGAGCAGAGGCATGAGGGAACTGAGTCAGGAGCAATTAGTTGAGACATAAAAGTGGCTTTCTTTTGCTTGCCTGCTTCAGAATCATTTTCACATAATTGCTGGAGAGAGAGTAGAAACTTCATTTCCAAAAGAGAGGAGAGCTGATAAATACTAGTTGCTTGTAACTACAACAAACCCATAGAGACCCTACAATTTTATTTTTAAAACACCATTCTATAAATCATATATCTGATAAGGGGTTAATAGTCAATATATAAAAAACTCATATAACTTAATAGAAAAAAAATCCAATTAAAAATGGGCAGAGGATCTGAACAGACATTTTTCTTAAGAAGACATACAGATGGCCAACAGACACAAGAAAAGATGCTCAAAATCACTAATCCTCAGGGAAATGCAAATAAAACCACAATGAGATATCACCTCACACCTGTCACAATGGCTGTCATCAAAAAGACAAGAAATAACAAGTGTCGGTGAGGATGCTGGTGGGAAAATAAATTGGAGCCACCATGGAAAACTATAGAGTTTCCTCAAAAAATTAAAAAAAATTTTACATATAATCTAGCAATTCTACTTCTGATATTTATTCAAAGAAAATGAAAACACTAATTTGAAAAATAAGCATCCCCATGTACATTGAAGCATTCAGTAGCTAAGATAAGGAAGCAACCTAAGTGTCCATCAATGGATGAATGGATAAAGAAATTGTGAAATGTCTATATATGTATATATGTAGATATATATACACACACATAGGAATACTATTTAGCTATAAAAAAAAATGAAATTTTGCCATTTGGGACAATACAGATGTATCTCGAAGGCATTATGCTAAGTGAAATAAGTCAAAGAAGACAAATGCTGTATGATTTCACTTATATGTGGAATTCAGCAACTACAAAACCAACTTAATAGATACACAGAACAGACTGGTGGTTACCAGAGGCAGGAGGTAGTGAAGGGTGGGAAAAATGGGTGAAGGGGATCAAAAGGTACAAACTTGCGGTTATAAAGAAGTCTTGGGGGGTGTAATGTACAGCCTGGTGACTATAGTTCATACTGTATTGTATATTTGCAATTTGCTGGGAAGATTTTAAAAGTTCTCATCACCCGTTAAAAATATATATATTTTTGTAACGGGTGATGCATGTTAACTAGACTTGTGCTCGCTTCACAATGTACACAAATACTAAATCATTATGCTGTACACGTGAAACTAATGTTATGTCAATTATATTAATAAAAAACCCTTATCACTTGAATACTTAAGAACTCTGCAGTGGTCCTTCACCCCCGGGTATACATTAGAATCACTAGAAGAGACCTACCCCAACCCAATTAGAATCTCTTAAAAGTTGGCCCCAAGGTATTGGTATTTAAAGTGTTCCCCTAGTGATTCTAATTATAGCAAGGGTAGAGAACCCATAGGGCCAAGGCTTCCTCTCCTTTCTGTGTGAGTTCCTTCTCTCCAACACCCATCTGTCCGGGATTGGGTGTTGCATAGCCATCAGCCTCTTTGGACAACTTTTTAAGCCTGCCCTTCCATTTCCTATCATGGAATGGAAAGAATAAGCCAGTGCCCTTTGGCTTGGCTCTGCTCTCTATCCTCCTTGGAAAAAACAGCTAAAATGACAGGTCTGGCTGAGAAGGAAGCTGGCAGAGATCTATCTTGGTGATTCAGAGAAGCTGTGCATAAGTCTTGTAAGCACACTGGTTTCTGCCCTACAGAAAAGGAAGGGGTAGCGTGTTCTGTCAATGGACTTTATTAACATGAAGTGGTTCTCAAATGGATTTTTAAAAATGAGACTGGGTGTATGACCCTCATTGCTGCCAAAAATATTGACTGGGGTCAAGTGTGGTTCCTCTGACTTGCTCCACCAACCCAGTGTGCTGAAAGCAGGAGGCATACCTCATCCACTGCTTGACCTAGTCACACTAAGAGCTTCTTTAAGAAAGTTTAGATAATTTAATATGTTGGCTTTCCACGTCCAACCTAAAGTTCTAGAGGTGCTTTTTTCCTATAAGTGCAAAGCTCATCTATATTTCACAATTTAAATAGCTGTTTATATGTACTTAACAGAGTTTTAAAACATTTTTGATTTAAAAATGTTTTTCCCTGGGCTTGGATAGATGGGTACGTGTGCTGCGGAGAGACAGGGCACACATTCCCCCAACACCAAGCTGCTGTTTTCCAACAAAGAGAGAGTCGGCCCCATGGGGCCAGGCTCTGGTTTTGGCTTCGCCCTCCTGGCATCATGAGTAACTTGACTCCCTTCTTCGGATCAATTTTGTTGTTCTTGAGTATCTTTGGGATATGGAGAGGAAGAGACACTGTGCTTACCTGAGTCATGTTGTAACACTTCGTCTTTTATCATCTGGTATCCATCTCCACCACTGGCAAGGAAGCTCGGGAGGACCACTTTATATACCTCATCCATTTTGAGAGGCTCGTAACTGGGCACTCGACACCGGGTGCAAAGAACATCTAACGTGACCACTCTGTCCCCAGGTTTTTGGGAAAGATCATACACCACGTGAATTCCTAGAAAAGAAATGAGTCTGTATGTTTTCACTGGATCCGAAGGGAAATTTCTGTTTTCTAAGAAAGGGATTTTGGCTCAAATCTGGAATTGGAGCACTGGGCTTGGTTTTCATTTAGTTTGAGCTTGGAGGGTGAGGTGACATTGCAGCTACCCTTTCTTGGTTAGGTTTATTCTTGAGTCCTGGGAGGTCTAAGGACCACTGGGAGGAAACAGGCTCTGGCCCAGAATGGGCAAGGGGCGACTGCAGGGAGAAACCACATGTTTTGAAAATCCTGAATGAACTGGTCCAGCAACTTGGTTCAGAGGCTTTGGAAGGTGAGAAATAGATGAGAGGTGCAGAACATTTGTTAAAATTTCAAAGAAGACTAACTACTATGGTAATAATTGGGACGTGCATGTTTTTCACAAAATATACAACTACCCAGCACTGTGCCAGAGCATCGAAACCCTGCTGTTCTCTCCACTCTCTCCTAGAAAAATGCAGAATGTTTGGGTTACCCCACAGGCAGCAGGCAAGGGCCCTACCACCTTCTGGAGCCCCTCAATCCCAACAGTGGGGTGTTCTACAGAGGGAGGACTTAACAAAGCAATCATACCCATCGAGTGGAGCCCACCATCAACAGTCAAAAAAATGAGGCCAGAATACGGTTTGAAAGTCAAATAAGAATATTAATTTAAATACTAACTCATTGGACTGGAATTAGTTATTGACAAAAGCATTTCAGAAGTCTTCGGTAATCTGGGGAGCATTTATTTTTATTCAGTTTTCACTAGGACCCATGAAATGAGCAGGACAGGTTTTCTCAGGGCACTCAGAGACATTGAAGACTTGTCCCAGGTCACAGTGGAACCAGAATCAGGTGTTCCAATGTGTCTATGCAGCAGGCTGCCCCTTCCAGAAATCATCTGTGTTAATACTGATTAGATATGTCCAAATCAGGCGTGGCAAATATTACTACTCATTGCCAGGGCCTTGGGGCTTTGACTCTGACCTAATTTCAGTGGTCTGGGAGTCCACAGCCATTAAAACAGCAGCCCCCAACCTTTTTGACACCAGAGACTGGTACTTCTGTGAGAATCTAGTGCCTGATGATCTGAGGTGGAGCTGAGACGGTGATGCTGGTGCCGGGGAGTGGCTGCAAATACAGGTGAAGCTTACCTTGCTTGCTCACTGCTCACCTCCTGCTGTGCAGCCTCGTTCCTAACAAGCCACAGACCGGTACCAGTCCACGGCCCGGATTTGGGGACCCCTGCATTAAAAGACTATGCACTGGTGTTGGGTTGTGAAAAACCCAAACAAATCTGGCCACAGGTTCTGGGGAAGGGGGAGCTAAGCCAACCAGCAGGAAAGTCCACCTCCCCTGGGAGGGTTACTTACCGCCCACCTGCAGGAACTCTCCGGTGGACTGGCCGTGGCGGTGCACACTGTGCTCAAAGGCCTTCTTCAGGGTGGAACCTTTTAACTGGACCAGGTCAAAGGTACCTCCAAAAGGTAACACAGCAGCTAGGTTCTCCCAGGTGATAGTGCCTGAGTGTAGTCACCGAAGAGGCAAGAAGGAAAACAGCATGATGACAAGCTTACCCCAAGACCAGTTTCCTTTAGAATTGACGGAGGACGTGAAGGAGACATGGGGCCGTGGAGGGCTATTAGGACAGAATCAGCCATGTCTAAGTGGTTCCTGACATGTAGGGAGGAAACAGATTCAATATGTCTCTGGCTATGTCCTCCACCACCGAACAAGATGGTGAGAGCTTATAAATGGCTGTGGCTCCAAATACACCTGTGGCCTGCCCTGGATCTCCTGGTTTGAGGCTGGATGTTCAGTGGTGTTAAGGATTGCCTAGTTCCTCCAGACAGTCAGTTTGTCCCTGCTGCCTGTCCTTGAGACGAGCTTGGGGCTTACACTGAGACTGACTGGTCTTGACAGTATTTCAGGGAAGACTGCAAGAGCATCTGGAGTATCTGTCTACTTGGTTTATTTCACCATATGATATAATCCTGGATTATCTGTAAATGCACGAAAAATTTAATCCAGTGGTACATTATCCAGCACAGAAGACAATTTTGCCTTTCTTTTTCCAAATATCCAGGTGAAGGCTGTGAATATTTTGCATACGTCAGCAGCAATTCCTATTTAGCTTTGTGAGTCAGAAGTTTAGCCCAAGCTTGGGTTCCACTAACCCTAGCCTGCTGCCTCCATGTGTGTATGCGTACTAAGAACACACAAGTATGTGTGTGCCCTTTGGGCTAGGCACTGACTTGAGTGGCAGTTAACCCAAACTGTGGTACATGGCTGGTGGCCGAGATCAGCTGAGCTGCCCATGGGCGTGGTCAGAGAGAACATGCTGAGCCTGGGGAGCATACCATTGTTCCGCTCGTCAATGGGTGACCGAATGCCACCTCCATTTAAAATGCACATGGACACGTGGTTCCAGGACGTTTCATCCAAGTGTCTAAGGTTGTTGTTAATCTGCAACAGTAGCAGGAATTTACATTAGTCATTCTGGGTCTTCTTCCTTAGAGTCAGTTCCAGAAATCTGATTAGTGCTACTGAGGAAATAAAGCCGCTTTTTCCCTGCTCCTGTGTTTCCAGAGATTTCTCAAGTACAGTTAGAACTAGTTTTATGCTCCGAGAAGAAAAATAAGATATTATGACCAGTCCTGTGTCAGACTCTGAAAAGCAAGTAGCTTTGAGCCCCCTCTCTTAAGACTCCCGTACTCCCAGGCCAGTGGGCCTTAGTGAAAAAAAATTGTGCAAAAACAAGTTTTCTTACACCTGCCCCAGTCTCTTAACAGGTAAACACTGCTTTTAGCCTGGGGTGTTCCCTTCGAGACTCTTTGCTAAACATCCACATACTGGCTTCTCTTTAACTACTTATCTTGCAGCATTGGTCTTACCTTGGAAAGCGTAAATGTTGTCATTTTACTTGGCAGACACTTGTTGAGTGTGGCTGTGTCCCAGGCACTGTGCAGAGCACAAAGAAACGGCCCCCTGGGTGTGGGCTTTGAGCTGACCTAGGAGACCTTGGCTTAGCATCTCCCAGGGGGCTGCCATGCCAATCTGTCTGCAGACAGGTGAACAGAAGGCTGCTTTTCATGGATGACTTATTATAAATATGTGTCGCCATTCTCTACTTGTGAAGGAGGTTTCAGTCACACTAGGCCTGGTTCTCTGGAGCCAATAAGACAGACCAGTGAAACACGATCTGGCCAAGTTAGTCCTAAACAGATGTGTTTTATCTACTATGTCTGCATCTTTAGCGTAGTACAGTTCGTGTATTCTGACCATCTTACAAAAGGAAAGCAACATCCAAATTTCAGACATCCAGAAATGAACACCTTAAAATAAATGCTTCAGTTCTTGCAAATCATTAAAGCAATGGTCAGCGCCGGTCTAGTTCACGTTCCTTCCAAAGGTGCTCAGTGGGAAGAGCTTTAGTCTAGGCACTCAGTTTTTAAAAAATGTTCAATGCTGTAACTATCAGGTTGTCCCTCCTTGCATCTTTCCTCTCTTCTCCCTCTCCTCCCTCCCTAGGACTAGGCCCTGCATTCCTGGGGACCACTCACCATAGCATCACAAATCAGGTTGCCCATGTTGCATTCTTTAAAGCGGCATGTTTGAGTGGAGCCATCCAGATAGACAATCGTCTTCCCCAATTCCTGGGAAGAATAATTATCTAATTTTACCCGCCATTTGTTAATGTCTGCTTTTATATTTGGATCTGGAAGCAAAAAAAAAAAAAAAAAAAAAAAAATCAGCCTGCAGTTAAAGCACATTGCACATTGGCCTAAATTTTAGAGAAGGCATCACACGCCATTTCGTCTACCTGTTGTGAGTATACATTTCTTTACCATATTTATGTACATTTTGGTTTTGACTGTGAAATTTCCTTAGGAACCGCCATTCTGTTTTCTGGTAATAAGACTTGGAATAGATTTTAAAGTCATGCTGAGTATTCGAACATCAAATCATCACATCTGTCTGAGTACCTGTTGGCCCGCCTGGGATAGCATTAGTGGTGGTGGTGGGCGATGAAAGGCCCAAGGTCAAGTACAAAGGACCTACTGAGGTTCTCCTGTCCATGTGGTCCTGGCCCCTCACTGCTCATCCATCCCTGATTTGATTGTGGCAAAGCAGTAAATGGCAGGGGAGAAAGCAGCATAGAAGTGTATTTATAATTTGAATCCTTTTGCTTCCATAATCAGCTCTCCTCTGGACATGAGCTGAGAATGGCTTTCTCATGCCAGGGTAAAGCTTGAAAAGGTACAAGAAGCAGTGACACAGTGTCTGATGCTGAGAGGACCTGAAGAAGCAAATGGAGATTTTTGGCATTTGGGTGTATTTTAAGTCTTATACACGAAAGGATAAAGGGAGAAGCTCAATTCTTCAAAAGTATTATAGTCTTGTCCCAAAACTAACAAAAAAAAAAAAGAAAGAAAGAAAGAAAAGAGAGAAAGAATAATCCAACCATCTAATTTTTGAATTAGTGGAACATTGACATGAATTTCAGGTACCTTCAGGGATGCTGCTGTTGAGAAGAATGGGATTTCCATGTGAAGTGATGACGTTTCCTTTTTCATCAAACTCAACCTTCAGATAGCCTAGGTATTTGCCGAAAGCATAGGCCTGGACCACAGGAACCTTCCGTCCATCATCGGAGGTGACTATGAATGGGTACTTCCCAACCGGCACCTCTTTGGAAGGTGGATTGCCTAAAATGAAAGAGCCAAAGTGGACCAAGTCAGCACTTGTAAGGCTGGCCTCAGGCCAGCAGGCCACTGGCCAGATGACAGTGAATTCTGAATTGATGACTTGCCAGCTGCAGCTCTATACAGCTGGTCTTTCAGGGCCCAGCTTGGGCATCTGCCTTTTTGGCACTTGAATCCTTCCATTCTCAACTCAGCAGGCATTTGTTAAGCTCTTTCTGAATCCAGGGCACTGTGCCTGGTGCTGTGGGAGACACGAAGGTACAATGCTGCTAAGATGACCCTACCCCGATCCTGCCCCTGGCTCCGTTCTCACTAGCCAGATGGATAGCCATTTCACTTCACTGTACTTCAGTTTCCTCACCTGTAAAGTGGGTGAAATAACAATTCCTACTTCACAGGGCTGCTGAGGATTACATGTCTAAACTCCCTAACATAGTGCCTGGCCCGTGGCAGATACTCAGTAAATGAATGTTTCTTTCTCTTCAGAGGTGATGACAACCTCTGGAAACCCTGGGCACACATTCCAGCACTTAGAATCTTTAATGGAAGATGAATGGACATGACAAAAGGCTGTCTTCAGGTTTTGCTGCTAAATACTGTGTCCTCTCAGGTGCCTTTTGGAAGAGCCACATTCACCCTGGTGGCCGAGTGGCATGCACACTACCCACTCCGGCCAGATCTCACACCGGCCCCGTCTGCCGACTTCCGTCTCAAAGGGAACTCCTGGGGAAAAGTGTGGGAGCCATTTGTGACCAAGAGGCTGAGAGGTCCACCCCACCACTGCCTCCTGGACATGGGCCTGCATGAGGGTGGTGAGTTCCGCCACATGGGAGAAGCCACATGGGCTCTGGCCTCTAGTCGCCTGGCATGTTTCAGTTCTGTAACTGCACCCGTCCTTCAGGCATGCTGTAGTTCATATCTTATCTCCACAGAGACCTATTTTGGGCTGTTACGAATCAGAGACCGTAGGCAGAAATCCTTGACCCGTGCTACTGTTCCTATCACCTCCCTCACCACGGCCATGAGCAGTTGTTCCAATCAGATGTTTACAGAGAGCACATGTTGGTTCCTCACGTGGACCAGTTAGTTAGGAGAGCCGGCCAAGAGCCAGGCCTTGGGCTATATCTCATTTAATTCTCCAAGCATCCCATGAGGCAGGTCTTGTTACTATCCTCACTTTATAGACTAGAAGATTGACTGTCACAGGCAACGTGCCCTAGGACACACAGCTGGTATGTGAAGGAGAGTGGATTAAAAAGCAGGGCTGTGAGGCACTGGAGCTTATGTCCTCTCCACTACCTACCACAGCCTACAAAGTGCTATTCTCACAGAGCCTGCAAGGGCTGGTTGCCAAAGGCCCTTTACCAAGTCAGATGCAAGCCCAGGGCAGCACCTTTGCGCCCCACACTGATTCTGGGCTTCTCTTTACAACTAAGATAAGCTGCAGTGAATGTTATGAAAAATTCACCCTGCTCTGCTTCTGTGCCAAGAGCAGCCCCCTTCCAGCTCAATAACCACAGAGCAGAAGTGTTGCAATACCAGAATTTCACAAACAGAAAGTAGCTGTTGCCAACCTTAATTTCCTTATTTTCTTGCTCCCTCTAGAAAAAAAGAAAAAGTCTTGTAAATTTTTTCAAAAGCACCTGATTTGAGATGCAGTGCAGGCCTTGTCCCATCTGTTTGCAGTGTACAGCCTCATAGGCAACAAGCAGAGTTGGCTAGGGCAGTCGTAGATCATCTATCTGATGCACTGCAGAGGATCAGGGAAAGTTTAACATTCTCATCATCATTCCATTTTTAGCTGGTCTTCCTCTGGGCAAGCCCGAGCGTGGTCTTTACTTCAGGGAACCAGGGGCTGTGGCAGCCCCTTCCAACGTTCTCAGCTGGGGTTCTTACAGAAGGTGGATCTCTGAGCCCTGAGAAGCTGAGGAGATGCAGTTCCCAATATACCCACAAGGTGGCGCAAAACGCACACCCAGGAAGAAATAGCACTAAATCGATTTCAGAAAGGAAGCCTGGCAGTTTCCTGGAGATCCACGAGAAGCACAAGGCTGACTTTTTTTTCAGCCAGCATTCTTCTGTCTTCCCTAGACATAGCTGAACTTAAACAGAATGTAAAAGTTAGGAATCTGACGATCGGCCGAATGCCTCATCAGATCAGCACGTACTTACAAATAGGAGCTACAAATCCCAGCGCCCATCTAACAAAGAACATTCTCCAGTTCTGAAAGGCCTTGATGTTCCTGTTGTGAGAATACAAGACTTGTCATCTGCATTTTAAGAGGACTTAATCAAGAACCAGGAGGACACGTCTCATGTGGATGAGGCAATAGCTAGTTTGGCTAATCCCTGCCTCCTCCACAGCTAAGCCCTCTCTGCTCTCCCTCAACTTGGCAGCCCCAGAAAACGACTAGCAGAGGAAACAATCTAAGGCTTCACATTTTCCACACTATTCTATTCTGCCAAAGATGCTCACACCCAAAATATTCTCTCTACACAGAGCCAAACATCTGTCTCTAGAAACCTGACTTGTCATCTTGGCAGGAGAGAAATTATTCCCTCTCTTCCAGCCATCTAGCAAATAGTCTGGGAAGCATATCTGGGGAGGCCGAGGAGTTGGTAAATGGGGCATTTCCTAGCACAGTGTGGGTGCCAAGGGGAACCTTGAGGGGCCCTATCCTGGGAATCCTGGCCAGAGCAGCCTGGGCAAATGCCTTCCTCGTGGCTGGAAGGGGCTGAGAGGGTGGAGCATGTGGTGACAGGGGGCAGGCCTTTGACATGGTTTTCAATGGACTGAATGAGTTGTACTGTGTTGTAAGACAGTCCATGCTATGATTTTAATGTCTATGGGAACCAGTTTACTAACTTCCAAACTCCCTATAGGGGTGGGACTAAATACAAATCATTGGTAATTGGCATATTTCACATCATTACTTCAAAAGGACTTGAGTCTCTCTTTTAAATTACTTGGAAGTGCTTGCTTCCACCAGACTGTTTTAAACTGTCTACTTCTCTATATCTCTTCAGGCAAGCCACAGTTTTGGTCACCGTTATCTTGTGCCTGGGCTACTGTGACAGCCTCCTAACTGGTCTCTGTACATCTCTTCTTCCCCTCTTTCTAATCCAGTCTTCACGCAACAGTCTGAGTGATCTTTCTAAAACATAACTATGATCATGTCTCGGAAGCTAAGCAGGGTCGGGCCTGGTTAGTACTTGGATGGGAGACCACCTAGGAAGACCAGGTGCTGTAGGCGTAAAAAATAAAAAATAAGGGATTGTAAGCTGACAAGCTCCTTGCAACCTGTGAGGTCAATCAAGGGTTGCCTTGCCTAAAAAAAATAATAATAAAATAAATAAATAAACAAACAAACAAATAAATAAATAAATAAATAAATGAGAACATGTGCTTCCCAGTTTAAAATATTTCTTACTGGCCTTAGGTAAAACACAATTTTTGACATGAATATCATAAACTGCCACACCTACACGATGTGGCCCTTTCTTACCTTGCCAGCTTCCTCTAGACCATCCGACCAGCACTTCAACAATCTTAGCTCTGCCTATTCCTAGGCCACACCCACCTCCATAGCTTTGGAATATGGAGTAGGACCTGGAGCCCGAGGTCTACATGTGAATTACATCATTTCGCTTCAGTTTATTCATCATGAAAATAATACCTGCCTTACAGGGTTGTTGGGAAGATTAAAGAAGTTAACGCAATAAAGTGAAGCCTGACTCAGATAGATGCTCAAAAGATTAGAAATAATCATATACCATGTTAACTCCTGGACGTCTTTCTGATCTTAGCCTAAATGTCAGTTCCTCAGGAGAACACTCTCTAGGGAACCCCCAGACCTGGTCGAGTCCTCCTATACATGCTCTTACAACATCACAGCATGCTTTGTAATTATATATAGCTTGGCTTCAAAAGGAGTCACCCAAAGATGGGCCTCTGTGGTATGTGGCTTATTGAGCTAAAGGCAACTGAGACACTCTGGGCTCAAGAGAAACTTCTGCCCCCCAGACCCCACAACCTAGGGGAGTTTGAATTAGGGACTTGCCTATAATAAGAGATTATCAGAGATAGCCTTTTATTAACCCATCTACAGGGCAGAGCAAACTTCTAATTACTGAACATCTGCTCATCTTACTATCCTGAGAATGACCTCCTCCAGAAGGTGCCTTACCTCATCTTCAGCTCAGAATGTCATAATGCCTCGTTTCCTCATTCTGTCTCTGAACCTCTCGTTTATGTAGGTCAATATGTTAATTAAATTTGGTTATTTTCTCTTGTTAATCTGCCTCATGTAGATTTAACGATTAGACCAGCTGAAAGAACTTTGAAGGGGAGAGGAAAGTTTCTTCTTCCCCACAATATAATATAATTGATTTATTTGCATGCTTTAAGAAGAATCTGATCAGGGTCAATGTGGAGGAGAGACTATTCCATGTCGAGACCACTGCCAAACCAACCAGCTAGATCAGGCCAGAACAGAGATTACTTCCCCAAAATCCCCTCAAAGACTGTCTGATTCACCCCTCCACCACGCCCCAGGCTTGCAGGTTCCTGGCACAAGCTGTCACCCTGCCTCAGGCAATTATGCAGGGCACCTTCCCCTCAGCTGGGGCAGTCATGCCCCAGGACCCTTATCCATCCTGTCTTGTCCTATATAATCCTTTAGCACCTGCCACACTGCACAATGATGATATCCACCATCATTTTGCCACTGCCCAAGACAAGCGTCATATTAAGTTCTCTTAATAAACTCTTGATAAATGATAGAGTTGTTGACCTCTTTCTTGGTCTCTCAGCCCCAGGGAATTTTACATAACAGTCAATATCCCTTTCAAGACAATAAGTTCAATGAGTGCAAGGGCTGCTGTGTCTCTGGAATTTGCCTAGCACGTAGTAGGTGCTCAATAAATGTTGACTGGATGACTTAAGCTTAAGTAGTTTCACCAATACTTTTCCACAGATCAGACAAGATTTGTATGCTTTCCCT